GCCAGAAACAACCAGTGAAGACGTCAGTAAGTGGAACAACAAATTGATGTTTCTCTCTCTCTCATATCAAGAATTTAAAAATGTACGAAAAAGGATGTGTAATTCGAATTTCTCCACTAATAGAACAAAGTGGCAGGACATCCAAGTACAAAGGGGGACACCTCCTAAGTGCAGTACACAGATCAGTGAACCTTGACTCTCGCAATGGGCTCTGGTATGCGATGGGCTCTGGTGTGCGTGATTACTCAGGAGCCAATCAGGCCGTATGCCTGGAGAAATGTTTGGTTTCCGAGTTAAGATATTTGAAAAATAAATGTCTTTAATATTCTTTTGCTGTTGGCTGACTTTTGTTTATTTTTTACATTCTGCAAGTTTAAAAAATAAATAACACTGTGTGAGAATCCTCATTAGCTGAAGTTTCGTAATAGTTTCTCTTAAGGTAAACTAGCTAAAATATTATCTCAAATCTTGTTTGGCTTGGTATAACCCATATTAAATCTTGAAATAATTCCATGCTTACAGAGGGCACTCAGTGAATAACTAAATAATTAAAATTGAAGTTGAGCCCTAATCCATTGTTAGCAAAGTTACGAATAATTAGGGTCTGAACTATGATCAAACGTAAACCAACCAAATAAAGGGGAAGTTACACTGCCGTGTGCACAGCACATTTGAGCATAACTAACAGTAACTTTCCATTGACCTGATCTGCCCATCGTCTTTTATGTTTATGGGGAAAATTTTTCTTTTTTAAATGAGAAGTTCAAGAAAGACTTAATGATGAAAGGGCAATAAGAGAGATCTCCAAAGGACAGAAGGAAGAGTAGCACAATCTTCCTAAACCTAAATTGGAGCTACGTGTCCTTTTCTGTTAGCTGTTAAGATAATTGCATAAGATTCCTGGACTGGTGGTATCATTAAAATTAATCACTGAAAATAATAATAATATAAAAAACTCCAATTGTATTCAAGTGAAAATAAAGCAATATAAATAATGTTCTTTGCTTTATTAGTCCATTTAGACTGAAGCTTTGTCAAGTATAATCTTATAGAAAAACCTAATGAAGACCAATAATATGATTTTGGGCAAATTATTGAATGATACATGATTTTTCTAATTCTTTAAATCCTCAGTCTTTCTTAGATGCTCTGAACTTGATTACATAGCAGGGGTCATCTGAGCGTGTATTCCCCAATCAGATGTCTCCTGGCATACAGTCCTGTATCACAACTTAACTCTAAAATGGGGATAGTAGTAGTACCCACCTCATTGGTTTGTGATAAATATTATATGAAAAGATCAGAGAATGGTGCTTGGCACGTGGTAAGTACTCGATATGCTAGCTACTGCTGTTTATTTTTATTGTTGTTATTACCCATGCACTTGAGAACTGGAAGAGACCTGTAAGGGGGCAAAAGCATAGGACTGTGCCTTATAAAAACAAATAAGCAATCTAAAGTGTTTATAACATGAAAATTATTAGATTCAGAAATCAGTGATTTAAATTTTTTTCCTAAAAGTAGTCATTTTTATAATGAAGGTTTCTTTCCATTTAATAGAATTAGTTTCTTTTTATATTAATATCTAAGTACTTGATTTAAAAAATGCAGATTATAGTTTCATTAATAATTAGGCCTTGTTTAAGAATACAGAATCAGCCTGGCTGGTGTGGCTCAGTGGATTGGGCCTGGGCCTGGGAATCAAAGGGTCACAGTTCAATTCCCAGTTAGGGCACATGCCTGGGTTGCAGGCCCCAGCAAGGGGCACACAAGAGTCAACCATACATTGATGTTTCTTTCCTTCTCCTTCCATATCTCTCCTTCCCTTCCCCTCTCTCTAAAAATAAATAAATAAAATCTTTATTTAAAAAAAAGATTACAAACTCAGAGGCCAGGTTACTTGGTTCAGTTCTGTCTCATCTCTGGCCATGTACCTTTCAGCAAGTTGCTGAACTGTCCATGCCTCAGTTTTTATCATTTGTAAGTAAAAATTATGGTGGTGCCTGTGGAATAAATGAATTAGTGTACATAAAGGGTTTAGAACAATGTCTGCCGTATAATGGTAAGTATGTGGTTGTTGTTAACAATTAATTTTTTTAACCTTGATGGAACCTTGGTTTTAACCAGTGGAACCTTGGTCTTGAACTTAATTCATTCCAAAGGCTGTTCGAGAAGTGATTTGTTTGAAAACTGGATTATTTTTTCCCTTTAGAAATCATGCAAATTAAATTAATCCATTCCAGATCCCCAAATGATTTTCTGCTTTAATATTTCTTATATATATAGTCCATGTCCAATATACTGTTTAATCTGTAAATAACACTTGGAGAACAAAAAGGGACTGGAGTGTAAACTGAACCAAAAGGAAATTAAATGTGCAGTGAAAATGGGAATTGACGTCACACTGGAACTAACTCTGTTGAGGGCAGTTGATGACTGAATATGGAGAGGAGTGACGGACGGATGTTGTCGTTCGGACGCATGTTGTCGTTCGGAAGGGCCCCTTCCGTGGAAACGCCAGGCAGCTGTTTGCAGGGCTTCTTGCTCACCTGTCTCTGGGCTCCCCTGGCACTTGCTTCAGGCCCAGGGGGCCTCTGGCTCACTAAAGCCTTGAACCAGGGATGTTTGTTTTCACCTGAAGTGAAACACCGCGTTGTCATTGAACAAGTGTTAGCGTGGTTTGCTACTTCTTTATCGGGTGATATTTCTCAAGAAAACTTTGCATTTCTCCCCATTTCCCAAGCACCTCCTTGATTGGTGGAGTAGGAATATCCTCCCTTCCCTTTGACTCTGAAGGGGACCCCCAGCTGCCCTGTGTTGCCAGTCCCTCTGGTGGTCTGGGAGTTCTCGGGGCTCAGCGCTGAGGGCCTCCACCAAGCCCTCCAAGTGGAAGGAGGTACTTGTAATACTCATATCCAACAGAGGACTCACCTGGAATACAGTTACAGCCTGGATACAGCCAAAGGCCAATTATTTTATTGGATGTTGTCTGCCTTGCAGATTTTCATTTCTGGATTAGTTGTTCGTGTGTGTGTCAGATTGTTATCTGATTAGTCGTTTGTGTGTTCGAGTCTACTATGAGGTCTCTGTCATTTTTCTGCCCACCACTTACTTGTATATGAGGTCTCTATGGCACTGCTAGCCACTGGGATCTTGAGGTAGTTCCACGTATTCATTGCTTCTCAAAGCAGTAGCAGCTGAAACTCTCCCTCCAGTGCCACTGGTGCTTTGTTTCTGTGATCTTAAAGAGAAAATGACCGAGCACCTGGTAGTTGTGCTTCCCTAGTACAAAGGTGGTTAGTCTGCAGTAAAAAGGCTTTCTTACTTATCTTTGAAATAGTGGTAAGAGCTGTTTTTGCAAGTGCCCCAGAGCCTCTGAGGTTAGAGAACCTTCCTTGGAGAACATCTTGGCCCAGCTTTCTTTCAACCTTCCTTCCTTATTGTTGCTTTGAATTCTGCCTGGAGTAGGGTCAGTGCTAGAGGAAGAGCTCATGACTCCTGGCCACCCATGGTCACCAAACCTTGGCTGATCTTGAAATAGGAATTGTGGTATCTTGGCACGAACCTTTAGGAGAGAGGGGCCCATTTGCAGAGCTTTACCTGGAGCTCTCTGCTTAGAATCTGATTTTCTTTCAGTGGTTCGATGTAAGGCAGTGAAGAAACTTGAGTCTTCCGTCGGTGTAGAATGACTTCAATCCATAATTTATTGAGTTCAGAAATCTTTGAGGTGAGAAATAGAAAGGCTGTAAGCAATACAAGTATGTCTTTATGAAGAAAGTAGCATGAACTCTGGCAATGAATTTGCAAGTGATCATTCTAACATGTGTTCTGTAATTTGAAGAAAACTCTAGTATTTACATAAGTTCCTGAGTATGCTGATCCTGAGTTTTATTTTTATTTTTAAAAATTTTATGTGGATTTTAGTTTTCTTAAGCACATCATCATCACATTTAAAATATTGTTAATAATTCCAGTAACATATATTTCAAATTTTCCAGTTGTTTCAAAAATCTTTGCTTTTGATGGCTTTGTCTTCTATCCTATGACAGTTCCATCAGCCTTCCTCCCTCCCCACGCTACGTGTTCACGCCATCAGTTTCTCAGAGGAACCAGGTCATCTGTCCCGTAGAATGTCTGGGTCTGACTTCTCCCCAGTTAAACTGCTCCTATTTCCCCAGTCGTCCCTGTAAACTGACGGCCAGAACTAAAGACTTGGTTAGATGCAGGTTCAGCCTTTCTCTCCTTTCCCCTTTTCTTTCCTTTTGACATTTTACTTCTATTACACCCTGAGAACACATACTGTCTGTTGTCCCTATTTAGTTATGCTCATTAGAATCACTTAAGGCTTCTTAAGATTTTTAAGAATCTTTGATTCTGATTTAGCAGGTCTGATAGGGATGGGGAGAGCCATTAAAAAACAAATGCAAAACCCCCAGATCCTCTATTTTTAATCAGATGTGGCAAGAATCATTATCTTTAATACATTTGATGTGCAGTTAGAGTGACAAAATTTACTTTTATGCAAATGCTTTGGGAACATACTTTTTGTATAAAAATGAAGCATATTTAAATTATTAATGGTAGGGGTGTTTAAGGCTGCTTACGTGGAATAGAAAAAGTACAGACTTAGACCCAGGAGGCTAAAATCATTTATTTTTTCAGAGACCCATTTTTTAAAAACTAGAAAATAGGAATAATAAGTGTTGTTTTCAGATAAAATGAAATGATATATTTGGAAACAGTTCAGCAGCTGGTGGGTTAGTAGAATTAAAATCTGAAAAGCATTACAGTAACAGATTTTTTTCAATTGAGGTCTTCAGAGAAGAGCTTCAGAAAATTGAAGTAACTGTCCCATGTGCCGTTTTAGTGATACGTACACACGCTTCTGTTGTTGAGCTTGTTTTTTGAGTGGTGAGAGACTCATGTTGTTTTAAGGTAGGTGTAATTAATGTGGCCTCTATAGTGTGCGGAAATTTTACTGGTCTTTTTTCCCCTTTCAGCTCCATTTACCTCTTAATTCTCCTTTGCCTGGAAGCGAACTGACCAAGGAGCCTTTCCGCTGGGATCAGAGGCTCTTCGCGCTGGTGTTGCGCTTGCCGGGCACCATGTCTGTCGAATCGGAGCAGCTGACAGGCGTGCCCTTGGATGACTCTGCGATCACACCCATGTGTGAAGTGACAGGCGGTAAGTTTTCTGCCGGCCTCCAGTCAGTGATAAAGCCGTTCATCAGGGCGTTTTGAAAGTGTACATTTCAAAAACTCCATGTTTGCTTGTGTTTGACAAGTTATCATAAAGGTCATTAGAAGATGTACACGGTTTTAAAACTACATTGATGAAGGTCTGTGATTTGATTTGAACAGGATGTGAAAACTTTTGGGTATCATAATGAACAGTGATTTTTTTTCTACGTAGACAATGCTGGTATTTGAAGTCATCGAGCTTATTTTCTTATCTACAGAGTTTGCCAATGATTTACAAATGTTGTAGGATTATTTTCTGTGAAAATGTTTTGAGAATCATCTCATTATCCATTGTGCATGTAACGATTAAGCCTGGTGAGTGCAATTTTCCCCAGAGGCACTGAGGAAGCTGGGTGGGCAAGAGGACTCCGGGGTCGCATCCAGCTAGTCCAGGTGGTCACTGTGCTGAGTGAACATGAATAACACTCTTGAAACAGGACACCTGATAGACGCAGGATGTCTTCAGTGGGAAATTGGCTAGCAGGTGGATTGATTTGCGTGGATATGTATGAGGACCTACTGTGTACCACGGCTCCGTGACTTCAGGAGTGAACAGGACAGACTCGGTGTTCTTGTTTTCATGGAGCATTTAGGTTCTTACTGAAAGGACTTGGCACCAGAAGGTCCGAGTGTGGCACACCACGAACTCCCTTGGTTCGGGGGCCTGTGGCAGAGTCTCCAGACCCAGTCGGTGCTCCCCTGAGATTTCATCCTGCCAGCTTCGTGAGTTAAAGGAAAGTATAGTATCCAGAAGTGGATATTGCAGGTGCTTTTCTTCTATATTCCATGGGGTTTTGAACAATGCAAAAGTCACAGACAAAAAGGGCATGTGAAATAGATAAGTTAGGAAGTTGTTATTCTATTTTTAAATGTTCCCATTTAATAGAAGTGCTTCTTGGTGAACTCTTATGGTGCCTTCGCAATTTAATCTACAAAAGAAAAAAAGGTGTGTGTATCCAATGCTAAGGATTCTCTGTGCATGGATAGTATTTTTCAGTGATAGTCCTAATTGTTGCTGGGGGCGATGCACGTTTGCATTCAGGAAATTCTAGTTTTCAGCCTTGAACTGACCCACTTGCTGAAATGCTGATTTTTGTTTCTTTTTCTTTTTTTAACTCTAGGGTTTTCGCTTAACAGATTATAGAAGGGCCTATAATTTAAACATTTTAAAAAAGATTTTGTTTATTTATTTTTAGAGAGGGGGAAGGGAGGGAGAAAGAGAGGGAGAGAAACATCAGTGTGTGGTTGCCTCCTGCACGCCCCCTACTGGGGACCTGGCCCGCAACCCAGGCACATGCCCTGACTGGGAATCAAACCAGCAACCCTTTGATTCTCAGCCTGCGCTCAATCCACTGAGCTACACCAGCCAGGGCTAATTTAAACATTCTCACATTGGAAATCCTTACTATAAATTAGTTAGATTGAACTTAGAATTGTGGTAAAGTTATGGGACTATGTTTTGCCTTGTAGGATCAAGAATATTCAGAATGTGAAATGAAGTGAGTGGCATAATCAGAGTCTGAAAAGAACCCGAGACCTCCTGTCGTAGTTAATGTCCTTGCCCTTGGGCAGAAGCGCACTAAAGTTATGTTGTCTGTTCTTGATGGGAACATCTCCAGAGGTGAAGGTTCCACAGTCACTCTTGGTCATTTCTTTTAATGACCCAGAAACCTTAGTTGGTTAGGAAATTAGGAAGCTTTCCCAGATGTGCATCCTGAGTCTCTCCTCATGTGCTAGGTTATTCGCCTCTTTCCATGCTCTCGCTAAGCAGCAATGGGAAGCTACTCATGTGCTTTTCATATATGTCGAGAATACATTTTCTTATTTATGGTTCACTGCAGAAAGCTTTGAAGATAAGACATCAAAAAAGTGGAAAGAACAGGAAAGCTAATATCTGTTGGCATTGAGCTACATAATATGTAATCACTACTACTAATTCTTGTGCATTTTTTCTTGTGTGTTGTTTAAAACTTAATGATAAGAGTAGTGTGTATACATTTATTTTTCCCATTGTAATTTATATTTATTGAAGAAAATTAGAAAGAAACTTGCCATGTTGCCAAAATAATTGATTAATATTTTGTTAAATTTTTAATGTATGCTTTTTAAAAAGTGGATAATTGTCATTGTAAGCATTTTTCTTTTACTATTATGTGATTTACGAGTACACACTCTATGCCAAATAACTATTTTATTTATTTATTTATTTATCTCTTTAGCGGGGAAGGGAAGGAGAGAGGGAGAGAAATATCAATGTGTGGTTGCCTCTCGTGTGACCCCTGCTGGGAACTGGCCTGCAACCCAGGCATGTGCCCTGACTGGGAATCAAACCCTGATACTCTGGTTCGCAGGCCCGCACTCAATCCACTGAGCTACACCAGCCAGGGCAAATAACTATTTTTGATGCTGGGAATAAACAGGAACAACAGCCAGCTTACATTTTGGGACTGTGTGACATAAAAGCATGTAAAACGACTCAGTGTTATTTGAAGGAGTGCTCCTTAATGTGAAGGGAAAAAATGTGTAAGGGTATAGAGTATTCTTCGGGAGGCTTCTGAGGAGGTGCCCACCCCCCCCTATCATAAACCTAAGGATTATGCTTGCCCCAGTTTGAATCAATTTGAAAAACTGTTTATCCTTGGAGATTGTTGGGCTTGTGTAAAGAAGTAAATAAAATAGCGATTCTTAAAATAAATTACATTTTCATATTTCTAATCTTGAAGTTAATGTCACTTGTTTGAAAGGGGTTAAATCAGCCCTGGTGTGTCTTTAAAGTATTAATCTCACTAAAATTACTGTTGCTGCATGTCCATTGACCTGCCTTTTTCCAGTTGAGGTAAGATTGACATACAGCATCACATTGGTTTGGGGTGTACAACATGAGTGAGTCAGGATTTGTGTGTGGCTCGAGGTGACAACCACGATAGGTCTAATGGGAAAGCCGAGATCCGGGCAGTGGAGTAAACCGCACAGAGACCTGGGCAGAGGGCGGGGAGTAAGGGAAGGAGTGTGCCCAGTTTTTTGCGGGGCAGCAGGACGGCTGCCATGGCTGTCGCTGACATGGAAGGGGCAGAGAGTGACAGTGTGGAGAGGTGGGCAAGGACCAAGTATTGAATAGCCTTTTAGGTCCTGAGAAATAGTTGCTATTTTCTTAGTGTGATGAGAAGCCATCGGAGGGCTTTTTATAGGTGACATCTGATTTCTATTTCTGAAAGATCACTGAGTTGCTAGTTGAAAATATACTGTGGAGGGCAAGAATGGAAGCAGGGACTAGTAGGAGATGATGGTACTTGGGGCTCAAGTGCTAGGTTTGGAGGTGGGAGGAGATCTGGTGCAAAGCAGAACCGAGGATGAGGCGGTGAGGGAAGAAGGACTCTGGGGTGGCTCTGAGACTGGCCGGTTGGCCTGAACAAGGGTAAGTGAATGGCCTGGGCGTCGGTGGGTGGCAGAGGGGAGACATCAAATTAAAAATGTCTAATAGACATGCTGGTGGGAGTATGAGGGTCAAAAGCATTTCATAAAAATAGTAAGACAGCTTTCTAGATTAAATCAGTTTCACTTTCTTAGCCTCTGTAAAAACTGTTTCCCAGTTTAGAAATGTTCTTTTTGTCTCTTCTCTGTTACACTAAGATGCTAAATAGTAGACTTCTGTGGGAAAGTTGGTTTTTTCCCCCCACTTTACTGCCTTCAGACTCATGACTCATTATATTTAGTTTTATTTCTGTGTGTGTCTGTGTACTCTGTGTAACCACAAGTGAGCCAGCTTCTTAACTTGAAGGTGTGTGTGCTTTTCACACAAATATAATTAGTGATCCTAGAAACTTTGTGCTTCAAAGTATCACGCGTCCCAAGAGGTGAGTTTTGACATAGGGCAAGAGAAACATTATGTAGGGTATGGCTCACTATGTAGAGATGGCAAACATTGCTATTTCTCTTTAATTTTCAAAAGAACTAATGGATATTTGTTTTTCACCAGGTGACTCAAGTTTATTCACTTTTCTCTAATTTTTGTTAAACATCTTTGCTAGTAGTTTTATTTCGTACTAAGATCGTTCCTTACTTACTTACATTTTCCTATCAGTGAATTGATGACGCAGGTTAGGGGAGTAGAGGGAATTGCCACAGTTAAAACTTTTGTTTTTTAATGGCTTCTTGGGAATGTGCTTAAGTGTCATGAAATAAGATATTCAGCCTGTATATAGTCCTCTACATAATTTGTGTGTTACGATAAGGTGGTCAGCCTTTTTATTTATTACTTTATGTACATGTTTGAATCAAGGAGAAATGTTTTAACTGACAAATTCTTTCAAATAACTGTGCCTCCATGTAGACCTTCTGTTTCAAATTAATACTCTGGTTTCCAGGGAACAAAGTACACCCAGATTGAAGTTTCTAATGCCCTAAAGGTTCGAACCTCACCTTGAGTTACTGTACTTAGTTAAATTATTTAACTTGTGCATGCTGTGGTTTTCTTATTCGCAAAATGGAAAAAGTAACTCATGCGTTGTTGCTAGGATTAATAAATAAATATGATAAAGTGATTAGTGTAGTGCCAGGCACATAGACAGACGCTCAGTAATTGGTAGGTGTTTTTATGATTACTATCATTACCGTACACAGGTAAGTTGTTTGTTACGTGATACTTGTTTTTCTCACTAAAGCTGACTCTGAGGATTTGAATCCCACTGCTTTTTAATGTTTTTTTTTCTGAGTAGCCTTTAGCAAGTTACATGTTACATATAAATTGGTGTGAGTAATTTGGTATGTTGGAGATAATGATACAGCCATGTTTGGTCAAATTGTTGAATCTGTAAAATTCCATATTGAGCTCATTGAAAATTATGTTGTAAGATATTTGTTTGATTAAAGATTGTTTTAGTTGTTAAGGTTTTCAGTATTGTTCTACATAAGCACATATAATAGAAATATGATACAAGTTAACTGTATAGTTATAAATTTTATAGTAGTCACATTAAAAAGAAAAGTGAAATTATTTTTAATAATATCTTAAATCAATATATAAAATATTATTTTCACATGAAATCTATATTTGAATTGTTGACATTTTACATCATTTTTATATTAAGTCTACAAAATCAGGCACATGTTTTATATTTACCATACATCTCCACTTGGACTACCACATTTCAAATTCTTAATAGTCGCAGGTGGCCAGCAAGCGCAGGTCTGCACAGGTCTGCACAGGTCTAGATACATTGAAGTTCTCTGTTGAGGAGATCTTTTCATTGGTATTTTTTTTATCATTAGCATTTTAGTGCTTCTGAACTAAAAATCCTATAGATTATAAAATATTCAGAAGGGAAATTTACTTAAGATAGATAATTCTCAAGTATGTAAGCCAGATGAAATTTAGAAAAGCATATGCTACCATCTGTATATTAAAATGCAAATATTTAAAATAAGCAGTAACTATCAGTAGACTAATTAAATAATTAAGTATCTACTATGTGCTTAGCATTAATCTTATGGTACACTTTTGTTAAGTGGGGATAAGATTTGGGGCGGTTAGATACTAGATGTTGTGTGTATATAGTAAAGATAAATTGTATTGGATAACAGAGATAGTTTTTTATGTTTATATTTTTGAAATCACATTTTATATAATATACATATATAAGTAAAAGATGACCTTTTTAATTGTGATTTCTTCAGACCAAGGTTTGTATTTTCCATATACTGATAACTGGGGGAAAAATTTATACATTCCCATAAAATGGAATTGTTGGTTTATTGAAAGTAACTGTTTTGTTCATTCTCCCATGAGATAATGCAGTAAGTCAAACTTTACCATTGAACTTCTGTTAATCATTACTGTCAGAAACTCCACTATTAATTATTCTTTCTTGCTAAAGTTAGGAATTTCTGCAACAGACTTTATTTTATCTTTTTCTTTGTAACCTCTCAGGTCGCTCATACTCCGTGTGCTCTCCGAGAATGCTCAATCAGTGTCTGGAGTCCCTGGTGCAGAAAGTGCAAAGTGGGGTGGTCATAAACTTCGAAAAAGCAGGACCAGACCCTTCCCCTGTAGAAGGTGTGTTGCACTTTTATTACGGACTTTCTAAACTTGTATAAATTATTCAACTGGAATTGAAAGACTAAGTATGATTCGGCCCTAAGATCGATAGGACCGAATTATTAAGGTGACGAAACAGCTGCTGGTAAAGAAGGAAGATTCATTAGGAAAGTCAAGGTGAACTGATAGTGGTTCAGTAACATCACTTTTTAAAAAGATTTTATTTATTTATTTTTAGACAGAGGGCATGGGAGGGAGAAGGAGAGGTAGAGGAACACCAATGTGTTTCTCGTGTGCCTCCTACTGGGGACCTGGCCCACAACCCAGGCATGTGCCCTGACTGGGAATGGAACCAGCGACCCTTTGGTTCACAGGCCAACACTCAATCCACTGAGCCACACCAGCCAGGGCGTAACATCACTTTTTTATATTAATTGTTCATAGCATGATATTTTATAAGAGCCAAAAAACTTTTTAAGTATTTGCAGATGAGCAACCTCGTATCCTTTTTATTATTATAATGTTGTCTCTCTCCTGTATATATGCTTCTCCCATTTGTTTTAATTCACAAGTATGTTTATTTAATTGCCTAGCTATATTTTTTCTAAGGACCAAACTAGACTGAACCAAATGGTTTACATGGTTCCAAAAATGCGGACCCAGCCTTTGCCGTGAAGCTTGATTATTTGTCTCTAGCTCAGCTCCACCTGGCTGTATTCCAACACTCTGTGGTCATGAACCGTTCATGTTAGAGTATTTAAGGGGTTGCATTAGAGCCAATGGACAACTCTTCCACCTGGGCCTTCTGCGCTGTACGATGGAGCGGGCAACAAGAATTAGGAAGCTGGCACTGACATTTGGCAGAGGGGATCCTCTAGACTGGGAGAGGGAGGGTCATAAGATGAAAGTTGGGCACCCTCAGCGGGGGACTATAGGGAAGGAGCAGAAGGTGGCAAGATTATGTAAATTGTCTTGCTGTTTCTGCTTTTTCTTTAAATAAACATTTTCTTTTAATTGAATAGTTAAGCATGGAATGTATTTATTTTTAGATTATTTTATTGTTTGGTTTAGAGTTGGGCGCTAAATAAATGTCTAGTTGAAGAGAGTTGCTATTTTGATAGAATTATTTCAGATAAGGGTAGGTACTTCAAATCAGGATTTGCTTATTCTTTTTTTTTTTTTTTTTAAGTTATCTGGCTTTAGTTGAAATGATTACTCATTTAGCAATGCTTACCTAGTATTTACTAAGCCAAGCACAGTGATGAAGAAATTGAGTGTTTGCCCCTATAATCTGGTGGGAGAAGCATATTATTCATTAAATAACTATTTACCATAAAGTATTTTTTACGTATTCCGATTGGGCAAGGAAAGGATGCCATGGGACCTCTTTTCAGCTGTTGAACTCACAGTGGCATTTGCAGGCTTCACTCTCTAGTGAAATTTCATTTGATCTAGATGTTAAGTGGTCATGATGGGATTCTACTATTTAAAGGAAATAGAAAAGTTCAGAATTGAACAAGTATTAGGACATTTTTATTAAGTGAAGTAATAATAGATATCATTGAAGTTTTGATGATGCTTTTTCTCCTTAATGATATATGCTTTTTTTTTTTTTTATCTTCTTTGCTATAGATGGGCAGCCAGATATATCAAGGCCTTTTGGATCTCAGCCTTGGCATAGCTGTCACAAACTCATATACGTCAGACCAAACCCGAAAACGGGGGTTCCTATAGGTCATTGGCCCGTTCCAGAGTCCTTTTGGCCAGATCAGAATTCTCCAACATTAGTAAGTACCAGACAGACTGACATTGTAACAGTGACCATTTATCTGCTTTTTATGCTGGTTTTTACTACTTTCAATTAAATATGTGGCTAATTTACAGAAACGACAGTGTTCAAAGTGTTGTGATAAGCTATTAATTGCTTTAGTATATTGTGTCGTTCATTACATAGTAATGGGAGAAAGGCACTGGTTCTTTCGAGACGCACAATGGATGCTCTGCTGGTGGGTTTCTGTTGGGTTTTTTTTTAGCATCTGGGTACAGAATCATAAATGTTTCATGAGTTCTCTTTGGACTCTAAACATAACGTGATGTGAAGATTTGTCCCAGGGACACAATTTAGAATTTAAATGAAGGCTTACACAATAATTTTGACCATTTGCCTGCAGTCTTTTAGGATTTAGTCTTACACATTTATGTTGACTTGCATGGTTTCAGTTATATTTTTCATCAGTTTGGAGGTTTAATATAGAAATGATTTTCTGGGCTGGCTTATGAATTATTTTGGGGGGGAACAGTAAAGCTCGTTTGAAAGGTTATGGTGAATTATCAGTATTCACCATATAGTGAATAGCAGTGAATTCACTGTTATTTCTGATAATAGAGTAAAATTATACAACATATCTATGTAATCTTGTTACTACATTTCCTTTCACATTAGTATTTTTTCTAGTATATGAGGACATCCTGGGCTATTTTGTGGGAGAGCGAGATATACTACCCTTAGAAGATAAGACTTGTATTTCAGATATTCAGATATCTTAAAATCCAGATATTGTTGACAAATTAAACTGAATCCTATTTGACATCTTTTATACTTTAAACCTATATCAACTCTTTAGGAGAATAGTTATTTTTAATCTACATAACATCTATAAAATGATATTTCCTTTATTTATTTGGGGTTCATTGAAATTAGATTTAGTAAATTTCAGTAAGGCATCTTTTTTATTCCTTTTTTTTTTTTTAATTCTAATTGAACCATCATAGTTTTTTTGTCTGGCCTTATAGAGAAAATCAGTTTCCTTGTTTATTTATTTTACTTTCTCTTCTGGAGCTCTTTTCAACTCTTATAAAACAGATACCATATTTGTATTGAATATGGTTTTATTGGTATTCTTTTGATTGTCTTTATTTAATACCCTCAGTCGTATGTGTGGTACTTTGTCTAATTGTAATAGAAATTCAAAATCAATATCACAAGCATTATCTATTAATATTACTCTGGTTGTCTATTGCAAATTGTTACAAGCCAAAGAGGATTTTGAAGTGTGGGTAGGATTTCAAGTGGGAGGAGGAAATGTATGAGAAAAAAATGTGGAAGTAAAAAAGAACAAGGTGAATTTAGGGGAATAACAAGTAGCTGAGTGTAGGTCGGTCACAACACATATGTAGAATATCAAGAGTACTAGTAAATGAACCAAATTGTTCATGACTTTAAATGCAAGATTAAGGAATTTAAGTTTTTTTTCAGTGGGGCTCAAAGAATAACAAGGCATTTTTATAGAGTGCTGCTTTAGGAAAATTAATCTGGTGGTGGTTATTTGCAGCGAGATGTGTTGGAAGGTAAGCAGGTTTCCTATTGGGCTATTATGGTTCACGTAAGACATATTAAGAGTTTGAATTGAGATGGTAGAAGAGAGAATCATAAGAAAGATAATATTGGGAAGAACTGGTAAAATTTAGTAACTGAAGGATATTTGAGGGGAAATGAAATTTTTATCAATAACTATTTCAAATAAGAAATGATATTGAAATTTAAGTGTCATTTATTAGAGACTGATTCTGAATTTGAATCATGGCTCTACCAATTATTAATTATGTACCGTTGGTTAATTATCTTCTCTATGCCTTAATTTTTCATCTGGTAAATGATGATAGCAGCTCTTATCCCATAGGATGGTTTGGGGGATTAAATGAAATAACGAATTAAAAGTTTCTTTGCCAAGTTTGAGAGGACTCCTTCCCCCTCCCTTTTCCTCTTGGACCTCAGTGTGTTCATCCAAAAAACGAGTGTGTTTCATGGACTGATTCGATAAGCTATGTGTTAGGTATATGCTGGGTTCACAGGAGCAGAAGATGAACAGCACAAGATGAGTAAAACATTGTGCTCATCCTGTTGAACGTTACCATTTATGGGAAGGTCAGAAATATAAAAAATGCAGTAGAGTACAGCCTGGTAACTGTAACAGAAGGGCAGAGCAGAACCCTCCCACGGGGAAGTGGTACCTAACTGCCTGGTAAATGTTTGGGATGCAGAGTGGGAACAGATGTCAGGGAGGAAGTCTTTTTGTGGTCGAGAACTTGCCAGTTCAGACTTAAAAACTTTGTTTGCAATATGCAAGAGAGAGAATAACAAAGCAGTCAGGCATAGCTTGTGAGATATGGGGGATCTGAAAGATGATGATCTGTCTGAGCAACTGCAAGTACTTGGGATAGCTGGAGCCCAGGGTGCACACAGGGTGGTGGTCGGAAGGCGGGCAGCGACCAGATCGTCAGAGGTCTTTGTGTATCATACTAAGAGTCGGGACCCTATTTTTAGGTGATTGTTTATTACTTTTGCCTAATAATTTTAGATAGCATAATTATTGGGCTGGCCAAAATATCCATGTGGTTTTTTCCATAAAATAATAAGGCACGTTTTTCATTTGTACCAGTAACTTCACTGATTTGGATATTTTGAATATGTTGGATATCTCCCACGTGGTCTAACATAGAATGTTCTCAGTTGATGTCTCAGTTTGATTGCTATCACCCTCAGTGGGTCTACCAGGCCATGGAGCATCATCCAGTGTGAAATCTCCAGCACAAACTGAGAAACCACTTGACACATTTGATCAGTCACAGCACCTTCTCTATACACCGCACAAATCTTTTTTTGCATTTCAGTTGCATTTTTACCTTTCTTGAAATAATAAAGCATAATATACCGAAAATGTGTATTTTCTTCCACCTTCAACCTTAAAATGGCTATACAAAAATTCAGCAATTTTAATATGTTTTTTAAAATGCACACTGGTATGACAGCTGCCAAAACACAGTCTTTACAAAATTGTTTTAAATGGAGTTAAAGACAACTGAGCACTACTAGAGTTCTCTTAAGGAAAAAACTGAACAAACTCTTTTATTAAATTGGATGGCCATGGGATTAAAGGGGGCTAATTAGTTAGGGAGATTGATAAAAAATAAGCAGGTTACCAGTCTAGTCTGAGAAATGAGGGCATGAACTGGAGTGGTAGGCGCTGGAAGACGCGTTTCCGGAGGTGCCAGCGCTGAGCACTGGCAGGGCAGTAACTGCGCACTGCGCACCCGCCGTGTGTGTCCTCGGCCCAGTGCCTTCGAAGTTGCGGGATCATTTCATCTAGGTCTGTGTGACGGTTACATGTGGAGGGTGTGGGGAGGGTGTTAAGGATGACATGTAGGTTTCCAGAGTGGGTTTCGTGGTGCAGGGGAGAAATGCCCAGTTGGGTCGTAGAGTGTCTGAGGGACCTCTGGAGGGGTGGGTCACGTGCAGCGGGCAGTGGTAGGCACACAAGGCGTGGGCGGGATCTGGTCCCCACACGGATGTGGGGCCGCCAATGTACAGAGTAGCGGAGGCTAAGAGAGTCCTTTATAGTTATGAAATTTCAGATGATTTCCCGATAGCTTATATTTTCCTCACCAGTCTCTGATCGGTGAGGTTTTATCTATTTATTTTCCAATTTTGAACCAGTATTAGTAGTTAAGGCATGATTCAGGATCGCAGGCTGGGGATCACCACATCCCCAGGGCTCCCCTCGCCACCCTGGCGGAAGGACAGGGGACCCAGGGGAGGAGGGCAGGCCCGTTCAGATCTTCCCAGGAAACATGCCTTCTGCCTGGTGCCTGTCCCAGATTTACAAGTAATTTTTAAATACGTAATGTCCTAACTTACAGTATATTCAACAACTTTTACTGACCAAGGTGTATGATCGATCAGTTTGGAAGCCACTACTATACAAGTAATTAAATTGCTACAAGTGAGTACTTAAAACTGAAGGTTTCTATATGTTCCTTGGATGTGAAAATGAATCCTTAATTCCAAAAATGTATATTTTAAACCTAAAGAGATTTTCATTTTGTGTAGATTTTGAAGTGTTCTGTCTTTCTTTTGAATATTAAATAATTTAAGCTTTGCATTTCCAAGATTCTTTCACTTAAAGGTGCTTTGCCTAGTAAATTGAACTCTAACTAGCAAAACTAGTTAGAGTCCCTTTTGGCAGTGAGGGATACTGAAAGTGAGTTTGTTTCTGGTATTTTGCATAAATAGTAATAAGACTTTCCCCTCTAGCCACCTCGTACGTCTCATCCTGTAGTGAAGTTTTCCTGCACAGACTGTGAACCAATGGTTATTGACAAATTGCCTTTTGACAAATACGAGTTGGAACCTTCACCACTGACTCAGTTTATCCTGGAAAGGAAATCTCCTCAAACATGTTGGCAGGTGAGCTGCTCAGTTACCTAAGTTCAGTGTTTCTTAAAAAGTGAAATTGAGTGAATGGTTTATATAACCTGTAAAGATTTTAACCTTCATAAAAATAGGAAGTTTTAACCTCTCCTTTTTAACAGGTATATGTGAGCAATAGTGCGAAATACAGTGAACTGGGTCACCCGTTTGGTTACTTGAAAGCCAGTACGGCGCTGAACTGTGTCAACCTCTTTGTGATGCCTTACAATTACCCCGTCCTCCTTCCCCTTTTAGGTGAGTCACGCCTGTCGCCTTCTCCGGGGCTCAGCGCAAGTTTCCACGTGGCAGATGTTTTCTTAAATGAATGAGTTTGTTCCAAAATAACACGAGAGCCTAAAGTTAGTTTCTGGGCACCATCGGGCTATAATTTTTGAGAACTATTGGAAAGGGCTGATTTTCCTTTATGGAGTCACCTCAGATTTGAAAGTTATAGTCACAATATTAGCACATATATTTATAGAAGGCTCTGTGCATACTCTGCTTATGTCCTTGAACCTGTCTCTGGTCTAGGTCTAGATATAGGGTATAGTTTTTCTTTCTGTTTCCTGATTCCACTTTTATCATTATGTGTAATTCTAGACCATAATTGGCACCTTTTCATTTTTGAAATGGTATTACTGATTGAAAATTGTAGAACCCAAAATTTTACCACTTTTACTTTGTTAAGAGCTTGTATCTCATGTTACTCTTCCTCTCACAAATAAGAAACTTACCTGCCTTGATTTTCAACTGTGAAAATGAGTGATGACAGTTCGTTTGCATTCCACATTTACAGATGACTTGTTTAAAGTACATAAAGCAAAACCAACACTGAAATGGAGACAGTCGTTTGAAAGTTATTTGAAGACAATGCCTCCCTACTACCTTGGGGTAAGAATGTTATTGTTAAAATAGAACTTGTTATAAAGTTTTACATTATGCTTATAGTTTATTGTAAGTATTCCTGTTTTTTGCCATTATAGGTTAAATGCTATGAAAACTGTGTGTATACGTGGCCAATATAGATGTAATAGGAAAGAAATGTTTCGATGATTTGCAAAAATAACGATGATTTTGAGTATAGACGGTGCCTACCCTATGCCTGCTACGATCCTATGCACGTTCCATGTATTAACCCCATTTCATTTATGTAGTAATCCTAGGAGATAGAAATTGTCATTGCCCCTATTTCATAGATGAGCAAACTAAGGTACTAAAAGATAAGTTAAATGGTCCAGGCTACAATGCTAATATATGGGGGTTGGAATTCAGTTCCGGGCAGCCTGGTTTTGAATGTGGGCTTTTAATCTCAGTCACTGCACTATCTTTTTAAATTGCAGTTTCAGAATTATTTCTCTCTAAAGGTTTAAAATTATTTTTGTTGCATTATTTTCTAAATCTTCAGAAATATATTCTTAGGTACATAAGTGTATATTCACATAGAACCATATATTTTTAAAGCCATGAATTTTTTGATTGCTTAAAATCTAGTTAATTATAGTAGATAAGACCAGTAACATATGTATTAGTAAGTACACTACTTTATTTTATGAAAAGTAACTTAACGGAAAGATCCACCCTAAAAGCACTTTTAGACATTACTTCTGCTTTTAATTAAAGAATAGTACAGCATTGGACTGTAACGGATCTTCATAAATGGCCCCTCATAAGAACATTAATTTCTTGAGCTTTAAAAACCATATTTTACAGTTTTAAGAGATAAATTGTATGAGTGTCTGGCACGTAATGCCTGCCATGTAAGAGTGAAAGGAAGAAACACTTTGAATGTGAAATGTTACATATGTTGACTCATTTATATTTCATAGGAACCTGGAGGGCTTAGCCAAAGCTGCACAGATATGAAATATCAGAGATCTGGTTTCTCTGGGATTTGATTCTAGTTTCACACAAGTGCTTATCCACTTTCCAGTATGTCAGTGGATATCATCCTTTTTCTGTCTCTATCCTGTTCATATACGCTGGACACTCCTGCTAGTGATAGCTGTCACTGGCCAAAGTGGTTCTCCATTGGTCTCTCCTTACAATTAAATATTACTTCATTATACCACTTCCATTGTAAATATTAGACTGTCTTTCCTCCTCGGTTTTCCTTCTGTTTTCTTGCAGCTCAGCTCTGATAATAGCCATGATTAACACCTACTGAATGCTTACTGTGTGCCAGATACTTTTATAAGTGCTTTCCACATACTAATCATTTAACCCCATGACAGCCCTACGAGGTGGACACTGTTACTGTCATTTTACAAATGCAAAGTGAGGCACAGAGAGGCTACTGAACCCGAGACTCGGGGTCACGAAGCTAGTGCGTGGTCGAGCCACAGCCCACCCAGCTACCCAAAGCGGGACGCTCCTCTTTGCTGGACTCGTCTGAGTCACTACCCAGGTTCTGCCGAGTCTGCCTCCGCACAGTGTCTCCTGCCCTTTCCTTCCCGGTTCACTGTCTCCGAGGGGACCAGGGAGTCTGCGTCTTCACCGTTCTTGCCCTGGGTGTTGTTAGTCTAGCTTCTAATCCTTTTTAACACTTCCAAACTGCCTTTCATACCACTGACAAATATTCTACTGAAATATAAGTATGATATTACTCCTACTGCAGAAAAGGGGAAATTGGGGGTGGGGAGAAGTTTTCAAAACTGACATAATGCATCTAGCCTGACATTTTTGACAAGAGGCGTTTTCTTTCTTGCCTGTAGCCTTTGAAGAAAGCTGTTCGAATGATGGGGGCACCCAACCTCATAGCGGATAGCATGGAATATGGCCTCAGTTACAGTGTCATTTCATACCTCAAAAAACTGAGTCAGCAGGTAACTCTGGGAGATAGAGAGCCTTTATGTTGGAATGGTTTTGGCTAAGATGATTAACAGGCCAGATGTTAGTTCTTGATAGTTCTAGTAGAACTCCATTTTATTAGTATATTTTAAAACCACATGTATCATATATTAACACAATTCTGTATCAAGTGCACAGTATGCTATGTTTTGAAATGTTAGTTTCAAATAATAATTCCTAGTTTATGAAATGGCTTCCTAGACTTCCAGAGTATGAACATTCTTTGTTTTTTTTTGGGAAATTTGTTAGAAAGTTGTTTTTTCTTAGGAAAAACGCCAGTTCCTTTTGCTTTTTCTTTTAAAACCTGTAGATTTTTTTTCTTTCAAAATGAGAATTTCTTTTGAAATATTTGTAAGAGACATCAAATTTTGTCATTTTGGGCATTAATCACCTTAGCAGATACTATGGTAGTTAAGCAATATACAGTTTAACTGACTGCCAAGTTATTAAAGTTGTATAAGATGCATTATTTTTCTGATGCTTCTGCCATATACACTTACCTGCTCATTGAAATGCAGGTGGAAAGAGTCAAAATATTTTCTATCCACTTTCCAGTGAAAACCTACATCATTATTTGCCATATCTGTGAACATTTATTTATATGCTAATGTCTTTAAGTAAATATTGATGAGAGGATTTTTCTAATTTTCTATCTGCTCTGAATTACAAATGCATATTTTCATTTAGGGTATTTTTACATTTCATGGTTTAAGTGTAGTGGGTATTTATAATTGGAGTTTGTATTTGTTTGCCCTGCTCCAAAAGGTTAGAATTATAATAAAAAATCACAAGACATTGTTCAAACTATGTTTAATTTTCCAAGTACTTGACATAAAGTATGCCACTCAGGATTTTAATTTCTTAGATACTTTTAAAATATATAAATATTTAACTTAGAGGACCAAAACTATAGAATTTAAGTTATCAATTTAGATTATATCAAGACAATTCTTGTTTATTTTTACTTTAGGCCAAAATAGAATCTGATCGAGTCATTGGATCTGTAGGCAAGAAAGTAGTACAGGAAACTGGAATTAAAGTCCGGAGCCGATCACACGGCTTATCAATGGCCTATAGGAAAGATTTTCAGCAGCTGCTGCAGGGAATTTCAGAGGACGTCCCTCATAGACTGCTGGACCTGAACATGAAGGAGTACACTGGGTTCCAAGTGGCTTTGCTCAATAAGGTAACAGTTCCGTGGATCTAGTACTGCTCTCGTTATCTTCTGTTACATTGTGGAATAGAGATCCAATTTTCTATTAACTGAAACTCGGTTTGGTCCGGACTTGTATACCTCTGCAGAATAATGACCATTATGTCATACTATTATTGAATCATTGAATTTTAGGATTAAAACAGATATTGTCCACGGTGAGTGAATGCATGGATGTGCTGACAGTAAGAAAATCAACCCATTTACTTTGTAAGTGAATAAGCAGAGGCTTAGAGATGCTTAACGTCATACAGCTACCAGTGGTATCACTGCAGTTTGATGCTTACGACCTTGGGTGGTGCCCGAGGTGGTCCTGGAACACTTTGTGAATACTCTGTGAATCTGTTATTAAACAGATCTTTACCCCAGAAGCTTTTTTGTAAAAACCGACAAACTGACTCTAAAATTTGTGTGGAAGTGTGAAGGTACTAGGATAGCTAGAGCGATTTGGGGAAAGAATATAGTTGGACAGTTTGCACTGTCTAATTTTAAAAGTTACTGTTAAAACTGTAGTGATAAACGCTTTCTGGTGTCGGCACAGGGATGGACGTACAGGTCAGTGGAACAGAGTGCAGCCTAGAAGTAGACCCTCACACAAACAGTCCGTTACTTCTTAACAAGGCTGCCAAGATAATTCAGGGGTACGAATATATTATAGTCTTTTCGACAAGTAGTGGATGTCCATATTCAAAATAAGGGTCTTGACCCTCACCTAACATTGCTTGAAGTGATCATGGTCTTAAATGTAAGAACTAAAACTGTAAGCTAAAGAAAACTGGAGAAAGTCATCATGACCTTGGGCAATGGATCATTGAAGAGTTCTAAAATACAGAACAGAAAGCACTTGATAAATTGAACTTCATTAAAATTAAGATTTTTTAATTCAAAAGAAACTTTAGAAAATGAATAGGAAGTCATAAGACTGGGAGAAAAGCATATATTGAATAAAGAACTTAGTATCAAAATACATAAAGAACTTAATACAGCTCAATAACAAAGAGACAAATACCCCCATTTTAAAAAATGGGCAAATATTTGAACAGATACGTCATCAAATAAGATATCCAAACTTGAACAAGCGCAGGAAGAGATGGTCAACCTTACTGGCCACTAAAGAAATAGAAATTAAAACCATAACGAGATCCCACTTTATAGCCACTGGAATGGCTAAAATTTAAAAGACTGAAAAACAGAAAGTGTTGGTGAGGATGGAGAGTAGCTGGAACTCTCACGTTGCTGATGGAAAATAGTTGGCAGTTTCTTAAGAAGGTAAAGACATACTTGCTATTTAACCAGCAATTGTATGTATCTACCCAAGAGAAATTAAAATATATGTAATAACAGCATTATCATAGCCCCCCAAAATGGAAAACAATCCAGTGTTTATCAAAGATAGACCGATAAAAGGTATGGTATATCCATATAATGGAATACTACTTTATACAATAAAAAGGAATAGACTACTGATAACATGAACAACCTAGATGAATCCCAGAAACATCGGGCTAAGTGAAAGAAGCCCGATAGACAGTATTAGATATTGCAATATCTAATTGAAAAATGGAAGAGACAGGAAGGAGGTGAGTCGTTGCCTGGGGCTGGTACCAGGGACTGACTACAAATGGGCGCGAGGAACTCTCTGGGATGCTACAAGAATTCCAGAACTGGCTTGTGGTGATTTTCACAACTGTGAATTGACTGACGCTCATTGAACCGCGTGGTTAGATAGGCAGGTTTATGCTATGTAAGTTACATACAAAAGCTTTAAAAAATACGCTTGAAAGTCTTTAAAATCTGGATATTTATTTCTTTTAGCTGGAATATATAATAAAATCTTAAGTTAGATGTGAGCTTGAGATTATTTGGTTGCATTCACTGCCAATATTTTCTTTTGGTTCCCAAAATAGCACATTAAGATTACATCATAACTCTATTCTGTTTTTAAACTAAATTAGTTAACATCAAACCTATGCTGCAGGCTAGAGAGTTTAGTTTCCTAATTGTTTGTCTTTGAATGTTTTCAATAGGACTTAAAGCCACAGACATTCAGAAATGCGTATGACATACCGAGACGGAACCTTTTGGACCACTTAACAAGAATGAGATTCAATCTCATGAAGAGCACCCGCAGGTTCCTTAAAGGACAGGATGAAGGTTAGATCGTGCTTTTCATATTGGTATTTCTTTTGTAAATTTTTTCTTTGTATTGAAACATAATAGTAATACTGTAACTCTTAGAGAATTATTACAGTTATCACATTCTCATTGTAAACTCGAACAGATGAAGTAGGAAGTCATCCCTGAGTCTACATTTCCTTCCGCCATCACTGTCGCTCCAGGTTCCATTCCCCTGAGTAACAACCTTAACAGCTTAGTTTCTTCCTCGGCTTTTCATCCATTCACGCACGCACTTATTTTCTTATGACGTGCTGACATCTGATGGTTTACCTCTGGGTGGCCAGTAGCTGTCATAGTCTGACATTTGCTTCAGCCATCTCCATGGCACCTACTACAGGTCAAGTCATGAGAATTGAACCCTTTGCTCTCTCTGATGTGAACATTCCAACTATACCTATATATAAAAAGGTTATGTATGTGATTTCTCTGTAAATTGTGCTATAATTAAATTTTGTGTATTTGGAGTAGAGTAGAAGAAACATTCCTTTTCATGGTAAGATTGCACATATTGCTGATTCCATGCACTGTAATTAGCTGCAATATTTTTGTTTTTGTTTAGAAGATAAAATCAATGATTTTTAAAAAATATTTTATATATCTGTTTTTTAGAAAGAGTGGGAGAGAAACATCAGTGTGTGGTTGCCTCTCATGTGGCCCCCGCTGGGGACCTGACCTGCAACCCAGGAATGTGCCCTGACTGGAAATCAAACCGGTGACCCTTTGCTTCACAGGCCCATGCAAAATCCACTGAGCTCCACCAGCCAGGGCAAATCAATGATTTTTAATTTCATTTTTTAAATTTCAAGGATTCTTGTGTCACAATATTAATAAAGGCAACAAATTAATTTAGAGTATGTGGTAAGGGACGACTGCCTAGAATAACACCAAGTAGCTTTCATATATAAGAAGATAAGTGTCACCCTGGCTGCTGTGGTTCAGTGGACTGAGTGCCGGCCTACAAACCAAAAGGTCACTAGTTCAATTCCCAGTCAGGACACATGCCTGGGTTGTGAGCCAGGTCTCTAGTAGGGGGTGTGCGAGAGGTAGTCACGCATTGATGGTTCTCTCTCTTTCTCCCTCCCTTCCCCTCTCTCTAAAAGTAAAAGAAATAAAATCTTTTTAAAAAATCATAAAAAAAGAAGATATGCGATGATGGTAACAGGTTTTAGTGAGGCTGACTTTTGTTGTTGCTCTGTTTTGTTGGAAAAGATCAAGTGCACAGTGTTCCTATAGCACAAATGGGGAATTACCAGGAATACCTCAAGCAAGTACCTTCTCCACTAAGAGAACTTGATCCTGATCAGCCTCGAAGGTTGCACACGTTTGGCAACCCCTTTAAGCTGGATAAAAAGGTAAATTTGAAACGTTTCATTTTATAATTGGTTTGTGCTAGGTGCTGTGGATTTAAAAGTTCCTAACTTAACTAAAGTAAGCTAAAGCTATTTTCCTGGTAGAATATCTAATAAATGTCAACATAGTTAAATATAGTTGCTTTAATGGGAGTTGGAATTAGTTGTGCCAATAAAAGCTGTACGTAAATCCAGGGAAATTTTATATTTTGTTACAGGGTATGATGATAGATGAAGCAGATGAATTTGTGGCTGGACCTCAAAATAAACATAAACGACCCGGAGAACCAAATATGCAAGGGATCCCTAAAAGGCGTCGCTGCATGTCCCCACTGCTGAGAGGCAGACAGCAGAACCCGGTCGTGAACAATCACATCGGAGGGAAAGGACCACCTGTACCTACGACTCAAGCACAGCCAGACCTCATTAAACCCCTTCCTCTTCATAAAAGTAAGAGTTGGGTGTTTCTGTAATAATGCCCAAGAGCAGCAGGGGAAGATAGGTTTATTAAAATTGGCATGTAGTTGTTTTTGTATCTCTTTAATGAATGTTTGTAGAACATTTCATATGTTCATTATGCTTTATTAGCAATCATCTAAAATATTTGCAAATCTTAAGTATTTCAAAAATAGTTTTTAAAGGGGTACTATCAAATTCAATGTCAGTGTAATGCACCAACTCATTACTAAAGAGCTGCACTAGGCACCAGGGGTGGCTGTGACAGGGACTTCTACTGTCTCTTACAGTGTGTGAGGAAGGCAAGCCATCGGACGCTTCCTTAGAAGCGGGGTGAGTTCTGCAGAAGGGAGGTCAAGTGTGTTGTGGGTGTGTTTGGTGTGAAGGCTCAGCATGGTCTGTGGGGTCAAGGCACTTGATGAGGAAGTTGTTTAAAGCAGCACTTGAAGGATGAATGAGAAGGTTCTCATTGGTTGGGTTGAAGTGGAGTTTTGGAAGAGCATTTCTTGCAAGCCATCTGATGATGCTAACGCGTCTGGTTCACAAATCACACTCTAAGTAGTAAGGACCTAGCATGATGTCCTGAGGGACATGGGGTGGGAACTAAGGTCTGGAGACATTGTGACCACCCAGATGTGCCTGGAGACCCGTAATGATCGCAGTGAGGAGAGAGGATAAGTGAGGTGACTCACATGGTCCTCAGGAGAGCCAGAGTTTGTCCAGGAGTGCGTGGAAGTAGGATCTTGAGGTGGCGCTGGGAGGTGAAGGATCAGTGAGTCCACATTCTTGGAGAACGTGAGAGCGGTTCTGTTTCAGGTCTGAAGGGAGAGTGGTGTCTGCAGGAAGGCAGTTTCAGTTAAAAAGGACTTGTACAAGACAGTCAAGCTTGCATGTCATGGAACAGACATGAGGAGGGAGTCGGGTTTGAGATTTTTGTGGGGATGAGTCCATTTTGGACAGTAAGTAAGGGAAGTGGAGATGAATCCAGCTGTTGTCCTAGAAGTGTGGTGAGCATTCGGGGAACTCAGAATTCACCTGCTTTCTCGGGGCTGGGGAGCAAGTGTAATGATCTCACGTGAAATGGCCAGGTGGCAGGCTTGAAGTCTCGTTGCCTAGTGAGCTGACGTGGGCGCCGGCTCGTTCCAAGTTACCAGGTGGATGAGTGACAGTAGGAAGCGGGCGTGCTGTGAAAGGGCCTGCCCGGCGGTCTGTTCCCCGAAGACGAGGGGACATTGTAAACTGTCTGCCTTTGCTTTTGCCTGTAAGTGACAATGGATGTATAAGGCAGTGGAGGGTCGGAATGAGCCAGGGCTGGGGGAAGATAACCACAATAATCTGCCTAAACCATTAAAGCCCTACCCGTCCAGTAAAATTGCCGTAGAGTAAAACAGAGAAGTAAGAGTTGAATTTGGCTTTTATTTTTTCCTCCCTAAGGACATAAATAGTATAGGTTTTGTAAATATTATGAATGTTTCCCATTGAATCTGCTGTATCTTTAGCAAAGCTTAAGAATCATATCACATTATTTGTTCATTTGCATCTGTCAAGGCAATCACTTGTGGTTTTCTGCAATAATATTTCTTTGAAGTTTTCATTACTCTGTGCTTTGAAATTGTCACATAGTTTTTTCTTCTTACCTCTGTTTCTAGTTCCAGAAGTTAGTAATGACTCGACAGTAGATGGTGTGGTTGAAAATCATGTTGCTGACCAACTCTCGTCAGATGTTACACCAAATGCTATGGATACTGAGTTCGCAGCATCTTCCCCGGCCAGTTTACTGGAACGACCAACCAATCACACAGAGGCTCTCGGTCACGATCATTTAGGAACTAATGACCTCGCTGTCGGTGGATTTTTAGAAAATCATGAGGAGCCAAGAAATAAAGTACAGTGTCCCGAAGAGAATATTCCGACATCCTCACTCAGCAGAGGAAAGAAACTGGTGCATTGCAGAAGCCATGAAGAAGTCAACACTGAACTCAAAGCACAAATAATGAAAGAGATTAGAAAGCCAGGAAGAAGTATGTATAATTAGACATAAACCCCAGATTTAATTTCTGTGTGTGCTCAAAAAAAAGGTCAGATTAAATAAAAGCATGCGATTCTAGATCAGTCTCGCACGATATGTAAGCTATGTGAGATCTGACTCTATCCAGCTGACACATGCTGACAAATCTCTGCTATATCCAAAGGGCTGTGGTGATGGGAACCCATAGTCTTGAGTATTCTTCTAGCCAGTACCTGGAGTTTTCAGGTAGCAGCCTAGCACCATGTTTAAGATTTAAGCTATGACAGTGACCAGGGATGTGTTTAGGTCAAAAAACTGAAGTAGGGAAAGCTGCCAATGATACTCACACAGAGAACTCCATGGGATAAGTCCCAGGACTGCTGGCGTCCGTGCGGGAGGTGTTGGTAGACCCCTGGCCCGAGGGCCGGGAAGGGGCTCAGACTCTGTCCTTGCGGGTCAGGCTCTCACGGTGCTCGGGGATGCGTTCGTGGAACCAGAGACCGCAGTAGCGCCCTTGATCTGTTCTGTTTCTCTCGTGTGCCCCCACCCTCACCCTGTTCCGCCATGTTAGCTGCAGTTGAGAATTTGAATTACAAGGATAGATTTCTGTGAAGGCCACTTGCTTCTTGCTTTTTAGTGGCACTACCAAAATGCTATTTAGTCACCCTTCTAAGCTCCAATACCTAAATGGGAACTTTTACCAAAAAAAAGCAGTGTTTGACAAGTTATTTTATCTTGTTGGTGTTTGATGAAATATATGTATTAGAAAGTCTTCAATGAGCAGGGAAAACTTTATGTAGGATATTTTTCTTTTTTCTTAGTATGTCTTGTAAACTGCAGTAGAAAAATGTTGAATAAGAGTGCAAAGGAAAGACACTTAATTTTTTTTTTTTGCCTCTCGTTTTAAGAGTACGAAAGAATCTTCACTTTGCTGAAGCATGTGCAAGGCAGTTTACAGACGAGACTAATATTTTTACAAAATGTCATCAAAGAAGCATCAAGGTAAATAGTCTTTGAACATTATGGTCCGTGTTTAACAGTGTCTGTTGTGTTGTGTGTGTGTGTGACACGCGGCGCTTCTCCCTGTTTCAGTTTATTGAAAGAAATTCTTGAGAAATCAAACCTTTTCTCCCTGCGCATTATACGTACTTGCATAATTCTGTTTCCTACTCTGGCTTTTGGTGTCTTTATATTTTATAGTCTTTAATTTTTCTCCTTTTTATACTTGGACTACTGTGAATATTAATGAGTGATTAGTAATAATTTTGGAAGGCAATATTTTATTTTATTTGTGTTTTAAGATTTTATTTACTTTTTAGAGAGAGGGGAGGGGAAGGAGAAAGGGAGAGCAAGGTCAATATGTGAGAGATGTATAGATCAGTTGCCCCTCACATGCCCTGAGCTGGGGACCTGGCCCACAACCCAGGCACGTGCCCTGAGAATCGAACTGGTGACCTGAAAGGCAGCCGTTGAATGCGGTTCCTTTGTATGTGGGAAGACACGTGATTAGGAGGACCGGAGTTGGACAGATGGGCCTCACTCTGGTGGCTCCAGTGGCCCAGGATTATGTGCTCCTAGTGCAAGGAATGTGGGTCAGGGTTGTAAACGGTAACTCCATAGTGTGCTTAACTGGGAAGTTTCATGAGTTTAGTGAATACAAAAATTATTTTTTATTTTTTCTTTAAGGTTTTTAGTATTTTAAGAAACCCTAGGGCTTATCTTATCTGACCTTCCAAATATACCCGTCTGTAGCCCCCCGGTTCCTTCCCAGCCACACTTAGAGTTTGTTTTAGATGAGGCCGTTGGTTCTGTGCGGGGCAGGTGGCGGGTGCTGGGGCTTAGGCCACTTCGAAGGAGGGGATAACTTTTCACATGACTCGTTTTGTATATTTAACATACTCTGCTCTTAGTGTAACATTCTGTCAGCTCAAACGTCGTCGTGGATTTAGTTATATTCCTGGTGCCTGTGGTCTGCTTCTGTCACCTTTCAAAGCAACAGCTTTCGACTGGGGTAAAACATGCAGTACCCGCCTCTGTAGTCAAAGACACTGACCTCTTTTCCCTTAGACTGTCAAATAAAAGAATGACAACAGCCAACTCAACAATAGCTGTCTGCTGTGAGTGAATAAAAATTAACGCCTATTTTTTTGTCAGATGGCCAAAAACTATTTTTTAATGTGCCACAGAATTTTAACAATGGGTTTGTGTGTGCCATCAGCTAAAAAGGTTAAAAATCACTGTTTTAGTGTTGTGTAATATGGGGGTTACAAGCAAAGAGGAAGCAGGCATAGATTAGGCGGTGTTTGGGGATATTCTGAAAAGCATCAGCAGTATTAGTACTTACGGAGATGAATGCAATTTTAGTGTGCTATATTAACAGAAAAAAATTTTGAGTTTACAACTTGAACTTGAGCTGTTGGCCATATTCTGTACTAAAGATGTCTAACCGTGATTTGCTAGCTTTCAGACTGTAATGGGAGAACACCGTGGTTCTCAAGTGCCACTGCCCCACTTTTATTTCATCTGACATTTTGGGGGAATTGGGTTCGTACCTTGTTCATGTTCCTTTTGACGTTCAGCTTTCAAAGAGCATAAGAAGAGCTTCTAATTTTGCTGGAATGTTAGTAATCCTTGTCTACATTAGGTCGTTTCCTTTTTCTTTTTGATTGTGGAAGGAGTAACCCCTTTCTTTTTACATATTATACGGTTGTTGAATATTAATTTTCATTGCACTTTGAAAAGTCTTGCCAAGGCAGTTTTCTTTTAACAAAAACATTATCCTGATACATAACTTCATCTGTTAACAAGAAATTGAGAGTGCTATTATTTTTTTTACACAGGTTTAAAAAAAGAATGCTAATAGAACAGCTGGAGAACTTCCTGGATGAAATTCATCGAAGAGCCAATCAGATCAACCATATTAATAGCAATTAAAAGAAAACAGAATGTGGCCACTTATTTCACTATATCTTCTCCAAATACAAAGTAATTACAAGACTGTTGTGATTTTGCATTCATTTTTTGACATGCATTGTTGGCTATTTGAGATACTAAGAGCAAGTCTGCAGATCCTTTTCTCATCATTTTACAGTGACCTTTCCTTCATTTTTGTTTATTTTTGTAATGTGAAAAGTATCACGCTAAAAAAATTTTTATTTAACAAACTAAAAATATTCCTCCAAATCTCTTGCTTGTCATTGACTCTTGCGTGTCAATTTCCCTCAGGTTCTATTTTCTTAAACCAACCTTTAAAATTGTCACCTCTGTTAAGGTTGAACTTTGCCAAAAAAAAATAAAAAAAGAAGTTACTTTGTAATTTTTGGGGAAAAAAGCACATACATTAAAACTAGGTAATGTTTTGTATATACAGTTATTTTGGATATATTATTGTAAGTTGTACAAATGTATTTTGAAGAATATTTAAGAAAAGCACTTTTGTTATTCCATCAATAAATGCTCTATTTTACTCTTGTGTGGTTTAGGAAATAGTCACATTTAAAACTATCTGAAGCTAATGGAATTTTAAAAGCTTTGCTTTCTAGCATTGGACAAATGCACCACTTGAAGTTCCTGTGTGTTAACCCTGACTGTAATTACATGGTACCTGGCCTGCGTGTCTTTTTACTCTGTTCTTAGTTTTCTTGGTCACACGACCTCCTCCCATTTCCGCCTGGCAACGGAAACAGCGTCTGTAGTGGATAGGCGGATAATTCAGAAGCAGACACCTTTGGACATTATTTGGTTTCCTTACTTTTCTTCAACCCCTGTTCCTCTCTCACTAGGATTGTGGGTGGCCCTTAGTGAGGGAGTTGTCAGTTTGGGGCACATCGTCTGTCCTACTCTGAAACATCTAGCCTTTAGCAGTTTGGTGTCCTGCTTCCAGAAGTCCCGTAACAAATTGGGGGCTCCAGTGGGGTCTCTTGGTTCTTCTCTGCTGTTCTCATCCTTAAGCTCTCCATTTTATTCAGAAGCTAAGTGGAAAGGAAACACATTTAAGATGACTTTGCTCATTTGCATTACCCCCCTCCCCCTTACCCAGGACAAGGGAAAACCGACACTGTTCCTGTCCACCCTCAGTAGAATGGCTTTGTGTGCCCTTACTAAGGGCGCGACCCAGGGACCCGACTCACTCACCACTTGTGTTCTCACTGCTGTGCCTTGTAGTGCTTGGGGTAACCAGTAGAGAAAGGTTAAAATGGATTTAGATTATGTGGGTGAAATAAATTTATAAAGTTATACTAAATTTGGAGTATTTTTAGGTTCATACCATTTAAAATGACATACCCTTTAGCAGAACACTTTAAATTTCAATGAAATTTAACTTTTTATGAAGAAAATCATAGATGAAAGTGGAGAGAGAACACAGTTGAGCTCTGTTCATTTTAGTCTAGGGTGTTGGAAGCTCTCCCAGTACTAAAGACAGAGCCTGTCAAGAAAGAGAGGTATATGTAACGTCATGTAGTGTTTTCATAGGCAATACTTTAAGCCTTTTTTATCTCTACCGAACACCCGTAAGTGAAGCAGGATATCATTTAATAGATGGAATTGTTAGGGTAGTTACCAACAGCCACATTGCTGAATTCAGCAAGAGCTGCACAAAATCCGGAATATTTTGTCTGGTCTTAAATTATATACATACTTAGATTCTGAGATTAATGGAAGGGCTTACAGACAAGTCATTCAAAGTTCATGCTTAAGAAGAATTAGGAAAGGGATTCGGTCTGATACTCGAGTGGCCTGCCTTACGAAAATCTTACTTCCATTTTGAAGGTTACTCTGGAGGTGGTAATCCTGAAGGGCCTTGACCTTTAACCCATTATGGGGATGAGCCCTAGAGGGGGTTGGAAGGAAGCAGTTTGTCAGTCTCTTCTTTTTGTCCTCAATCTCTGCCACCATGCTCTGCCCCCTCATCCGGAAACCTAGTCACAAGGTTGGAAACCCATTGAAACTCAAGCTTAATATTCCATCTCTGTGTTGAGAAGCTGAGCATATTAGTTCGATGAGTGCAGTACTGTAGCATTCTTGTAAGCAAAGGAGAAGGGGAGGGCATTTGAGGAAAATAACCAGGTCTTTCAGGCCCTTTCGGTCACTGGGTGACTAGGCTGGACAGATGGTATTTTCCAACAGTTAAGTCTTGAGATTAAGATAGTTTTCTTGAATGGCCTCATGGGTCTCATTTGTCAATTGATTTAGTCATTATTTGCCTTTATTAGTAAGATTGATTGACTTGGTGTACTGAAGGCTGAGACTCACTCTTATCTCTTCAATACCCACCACCAGAAGAGTGCCCACTTCACTCTGTGCGATGTGCCCTGGGAGGGCAAGCACCTCCCAGGGACGGAAACTAACTCACAGGGTCTCTGTGTAGATGTGCGGCGGGTGGTGGCACTGGCTTTGGATTAGCCTTGACTTTCATTCTCTGTTGACTAAGGCAGCTCTGCAAACACCTGTCATTGAAATAGTGGTGTGTCTTTTACTGCTGCAAAGATTGTACAGTCATTTTTATGCAGTTGGATTCCAAAAAAGGAATTGTTCTCTTAACTACCATCGACCTTTATCGGCTATCAGCTTTTGACAATGACCTTTCTGTTCAAATGTAGTGCTGTCTCTTTCTGCAGGAAGTGGAAGCTGTCATTTTCTCATCTTTCATTTTTGACATGTATTCTTTCTAAGGGCTCTCCGACTGTTCTGAGTGATATGTGACATTTTCATCTAATATATATGGGGTTGGGATGTTTACTAGCAGGACATTCTGTTAATGGACCTTTTCTCCCCAAATAATCCCAAAATAGATTATTTCCTAGTGAACGGTCATTTTCATCCTTTTTGTCACAAAAGTGTTCCTTTGATTTCTAGCACAAGTTACAGCAGTATGCAAATGATTCTCAGATAAAATGATGTTGACAGTATTTCCTTAAAAATTTGTGTAAAGCCTATACGTAATTTTCATTATTCTAACTTGACTTTTTTCTCTCCATAAATAAAAATAATGCCTGATGTTTAGTTAAAGTAGATCCACTTTTGCTTGATTTTATTAGTCTTGTTCCATCCTATTTCTTTTTAAACACATTGTTTAAACTTGCCAACAACTCTTTACTGAGAATCTCTTTTCCTTCCTGGGCTGATAAATAATTACCAGATGGGGAGGGGGGCATTAAGAGGATTAATTTAAATAGTTTGTTCAATGTTGTTGATGCTAAAGGACTTCTGCTTCTCCTTCTGGTGTGCTAAGGATTTGCCAATACCATACCATTTGGGGGGATTACGATGAGGTTGTATAGTGGGAGTTAAAATGAACAAGGGCAAAGCACTTTGTGTGATTTCAGCAAGCTTGAGAGAGATCAACAGAAAGCCTATAGAAATGCAGGTGCATTCACCAGACAGGGTTGCTGAGAGTCGGAGGACTTCTCCGATACTCTGTTGGCCCAAAGGAGCTATCTTTTACCCTCCCGTGACAGCAGAACTCGGCAGCAACTGGCAAAAGCCAAGATTTATCACTTATTTTACTTTTCATGATTTTTCTAAGTTTCCCCAGAAGTAGAAACCTGAATTCTAAAAATGTACATCAACTACAAATGAGCTGACAGAGAAGGGGAAACCCCACTGAGGATATTAGTTTCCCTTTTAGTTTTCAAATGTGCCCCTTCCCTAGGATGCACAGCCCGCCCAGGGGAGCTTCTGACACCGCCTAGGGACTAGCCTGGGGCCGTGCCGGTGTTGGGCTGCAGTGGGCCGGGAGCCCTTGTTGCTAGAGAGACACTGAGAAATACTTAATTTATCTGAATTCTATTTAAAAAAACCCCAGTAATACCTGTATTATGTTCTCAGGAAAAGGAGGAATAGTCAATCTGCTTTAAAAAGAAGAATCCGAGACCTTTTTAGGAACAATAGAACTTCAGAAAGGCAGAAGAATCTAGATTCACTATTAAAGTTGGATATGAAGTCTGTTGCACCCCTTCACTTTTGGTGAATAAAATCCTAATATTGCATTTAGCATTAATGGAGTGAAACGGGGAAATTAAAAAGGTACACTTAGCAAAACTTGTGTCTCACTTAGCAAAACTTATATTATTTTTTTCAGTATTCCATGGAATATTTTACTGAAGGTAGTTTTCAGAGTCACCTTACTCCTTGCTTAGGGGGATGGCAGTATAAGTACCCTTTCCAAAATGGATGTCTCTTTTCTCCCATCGTTTTTCAGAAACTTGGTTCTCTATTAACATTCCTCTGTTATTGCTCTACCAAGCCTGGCCTTGGGGTTGCAGGGGAAGTTTTAGAAGTAGGAAGGTCGAACTGGCTAAATCTAACAAAGGTAGACACGGCAGCGGTGGACTGCACGTGTTCCCCTTAGGAGCACACCTGTGGCTGCAGACACCTTTGTGCCTTCCTTGGACACCTGATCTTGGCTTTGCGCATCGCTCCAGAAACAGAGAAGCCATCTAGGCCCTAGGAAATAAACGTGAATTGCATACTGCATTTTTGATGCATTAGGTTTAGGGACTTGAGTACATTGTTAAAGAACACACTACTTTGTCACATTCTTACGTTGCTTGCTGTATCACTAGAGAGAGCTTATTGGAAAATTCCAAAGGTGCAATTTTGTAGTTAAACTTCCCAGACCTCCAATTTAATAATCTAAAAACCCCAAATTAACATTTAGACCTGTGCCTCACTTTCCAATAGTTATTTTCAAAAGTAATTTCTAGCCCAGATTGACATCTTCTCATCAGGTCACATTTCTAAAACGGTGGTGTAAGAATGCGTTAAAAGTGCAGATTCTGGAGCACAGGAATGTGCATTTTCAGCAAACTTCTGAGAGGCTTTCCCTTGAGTGCCGCCTGGGACTGCACTTCAAGGGCCACTTGTAAAGGGCTGAGTGGCAGGTTTGTTCTGTAGGCTTTCGAAGGTGTAGCTCGGTGTGTTGAAAACGTGTCTGACGCTACCAGACTGCATTCTGTGTACCAAGGTACATCCGGCTGTGCAAGGGGCTTGCTTCACGGGCTAGAAATCTGCAAAGAAAATGAGAGGTCAGGGCTGTGGCAGCTGTGTGCTCACGGTTTCGAAGGTAAGCCTCGCACATAGGAATGGGGTGAGTGAGGGGAGTTTTCGGATTGTTGTAATTTTACCATGCATCATCTTGAAACAACTCCACAACTCCATCAGTTCCTTGGCACAATAGAGAGTGAAAGCTAAGAATCTTTAGAACTAGGGAAACCTTGGGAAAGCACTCGGTCCAACCCTTTTGTTCTAGAGTGAGTTGTCATCCTCTGCGGTCACATACTTGTTTAGAGTTGGGCACACACCTTCACACAAACAGTCTCTTCCAGGAGGTGTTCTGGTCAACTCCAGCAGGCCTCTGGAGAGGCCCCTGTGGTAGGAGTCTTACTCGTCCTGATACAGGTGTATTTATTTTGAAGACGTTTCTTTGTTCATTTTAGACTCAGTTGAAGTTGTTTTGCATTTTTATGCACGTACGAGGAGATGGCATATGAATGGCATGAGAATAAAACCAGCCCGCAGTACAGAATCTGCGGCCTTTCACCATGAACTAGGTGCACACGGGGAATTGTGAGTTGGCTGAACTCTGTAAGGAATGGTTATTTTCCAGCATCAGCGCAGGGGACCAGATGGGGCCAGAGAAAGGAAAAATCAGTGGCACCATTCACCTGGCATCACTTGCCCTAAAACCAGTGAAGAATCTGATCGTTTGAGCAGTTGGTCTCTTTCTGCAGGATCTTTTTTACCTATGGGTAAAAAAGGTTCTTTGGTGGTGATGAGGTTTTACTAATAATCTGTGGCTTCGTTGCTGTCTAGTATGGTATCTGAACATTTTAAATAAATGTTCATTAAATGAGTGGAGGTTCATTATGAAACCCTGGTCAAGGGTTTCATAATAAAATTGTAATTAATATAGTAAATAATTTAGTAAGTACAGTAAACAATGAAATACAGTAAAGGTGCTGTGTTAGAATCCAGGTGCCTTGGCGCAATGCGAGAAATGGGACCGACTGGTCTGAGTGAGTCTTCGGTTAGATGGGCCCGGCTATTCCCATTCCTTGAGACTAGCTCTTCTCCACCATTCTGCATGCAGGGCAGGTCCAGTCGTCGACCTTGAGTGCTTGCACAACTGTAAGCCAGACTCAGGCTCCAGTGTCTGCATCTCTTAAATTTTATCTCCGGTAAGAGTTACAATTTCAGAAGAACAACATTTATGCTCTGAGCGAGAATTCAGAAGTCATCTGTAGGTGTGTGTTTTCCTTCTTCCTCGATCTTGTGTGATGGATGCCTATGTGCTTTTGTTCAGCAGCTGTTGAAATGGCACGCAGCTAAGGAATCCAGCCCAGTGGAGGTCAAGCACAGAGGGACTCTCCTGGCTTTGGGCGCATCCTCTCCTGCAGTGGGAGCAGCTTCTTGGTACCACTGAGGTCATGCAACCTACTTTCCCAAAATTTGTCCCCAAGATTTTTTATAGGCACTACTCTGTAAAAGGGTTTGCTTGTTTATTAAAAATGGGAAGTGCGAGTTAGGTCCTTTTGTGCTTTTGTTTTTAGTGGTGGACTTCTCCAAGCTGCTAATTCCCTAATGTTCTTAGTGAATCCCAACAGGACTAGAATATGTAGTGTTTAATCGTGGACCCATCCCCCCATCTCCCTTCTCCAGGTTTACCAGATTGGTGCCCTGGGGAATGCGCTTTGGGAAACTAGCTCACCGTAAACCCATTTTCTTCTATATTACATTTCCTTACCCAGAGCAAAGGGGTAAGTGTCTTCCTCACCCTCCCTCCTGGCATAACCTCCACTCTTCCCCCATAACGTCGTCTAACACGTTTACATGTTGACGTCGCTTTTTAGATTGTTAGCTCTCAGGAGTCAGGAGCTGGCTTAGTACTTCCAGGTGCTTCGTACTTTGCTCAACCAGTGTAATGTTGCTCACGTGCAGTAAGCGTTGGATGAATGACTATCGGGCACTTCACATGGCACAACTGTTTCACGTCCCCATACAAACAGCTGCCTTCATGGTTTGGGCCTGATTTCACTTGTAAGGAGGTGCCGGCTCCGGGCTCCTCAGGGGCTCTGGGGCCCGGAGACTCAGGGGCTCCGGACAGGGTGGGCCTTGGCCAAGTCTCACCCAAGTGATGGGGCCAATGGCCCTTCTCCTCTATCAGCGGAGACCACCAGTGTGTGGCTGGTCGCACTCCCAAAAGGTGTAAGACTCAGTGGGTTGGGCGGCCTCCCATAAGCTGAGAAAGGTCACCAGGTGTGATCCTTCATCAGGGCGCCCGCCTGGGTTGCGGGCCAGGTCTGGGGCTGGGGGTCTGCAAGAGGCAGCTGATCAGTGTTTCTCTCCCCCTCTCTAACAATGAGTGGATGAATACATAAATGAATAAAATCTTTAAAATTTTTAATGAAAAGGTTTAAGAGTCTTTATAACATGACATTATGCAAACACAAGACAGCAAAACGTAAATGACGGCGCCTCCATTGGATCTGCGGCTTCTCCTAAAGTAGCGCAAACACGCCCTTCGCCGTGTCTTGCGTGTTTAAATGATTATCACTTACTGTTGGCAGATTCAGTGGCCTTTTAGGAAGTTACCGCCAGAACACGTGTCTAGTTACTTTCCTCATCTTTTTAACTGTAAAAGTTGTGAAGATGGAAGGCGCGGGGCACACAGCATCCGGCCCAGGTTACAGAGTGCGCCAGAAGGAGGCCGGCCTGGCCTCTGAATCCAGGCTGGCCTCAGTCGTTCCGTCCTTCTCTACGCTGCTCCTCACACCTTCTCTCTCAGGGTTTATCGAGATAGAGTTGACGTAACTTGGCGTAAGTTTAAGGTGTACAATATAATGATGTGATATACGTATGTGTTGTAAAATGATCACCCCAATAAGATTAGTTAAGACATCCATCACCTCACATAGTTAAATTTTCTCGTGTATTAATTTCCTTTAAGCCTTATCCAAGGTCCTATTTTTTTATTGCGTTTATAGAGAGAGAGAGGAAGGGGAAGAGACACATGGATGTGAGAGGGAGACACTGATCGGTTGTCTCCCGCAGGCATCCCCACTGGGGATCAGGCCCACAGCCCGTTGAAGCGTGGACGGTGCTCCACACCTGGGCCACCCCAGCCAGGGCTCTGATGTGGAACTGTTAAGACCTACTCTTGCAGCAGCTTTCAGATGTACAGAGTGTAGCCACCGTGCTGTACATTACATCCCAGAACTTGGAACTGGAAACGCCCGCCCTCTGAGCACCTTCCCTGGCAAATACCAATCTACTTTCTGTTCCTATGAGTTGGGTTTCTCTTCTTTAGATTCCATATGTAAATGAAATACAATATTTGTCTTTTTCTTTCTAACTTACTTCACTTAGTTTTTCCATGTTGTCGTCAATGGCAGCCTTTTGTTCTTTCTTACGGCCAAATAGTATTTCACTGTGTACACATACCACAGCTTCTCTATCTGTTCATCTGTCAGTGGTCACTGTTTTTCCTTGTCTTGGCTACATGTAACTATTGCTGTTATGAAGATGGGGGGCAGACATGTCGAGGTGGGGGTTTCATTTCCTCTGGGTAGGTACCCAGAAGTGGAATTGCAGGGTCACATGGTAGTTCTATTTTTAATTCTGCAAGATACCTCCACACTGTTTTCCACAGTTGCTGTACCCATTTACGTTCTCATCAACAGGGCACGAGGGTTCCCTTTTCCCCACAGCCTCACCAGCACTGTGCTCTCTTGTCTTTTTGGTAATGAGACATCCTAGCAGATGTGAGGTGATGTCTCGTTGTTTGGATTTGCATTTCATTGGTGATCAGTGACCTTTTCATATACCTGTTGGCCATTTGAATATCTTCTTTGGAAAAATGTTTATTCAGACTCATTGCTCATTTTTAATTGGATGATCGTTGTTATTTGCTATTGAGTTGTATAAGATCCATTGCTATATTTTGGGTATTGGCCCCTTAACAGATATGTGAGTTGCAAATACTTTCTTCCATTTCATAGATTGCCTTTTCTTTTTATCAATTAGTTCTTTTGCTGTGAAGAAACTTTTAGTTTGATGTCGTCCCACTTAACTGGTTTTTGCATTTGTTGCTTGTGCTTTTGGTGTCATATCCAAAAAAATCATTGTCAGTAACATTTTCAAGGGACTTTTTACTGATATTTTCTTCTAGGAACTTTATGGCTTCAGACATTTACATCTTTAATCCAGTTTTGAGTTAGCTTTTATGAGTAGTGTAGGATAGGGGTCCAGTTTTATTTTATTTGCATGTAATATCTAGTTTTCCCAACACCATTTATTGGAGACTATCTTTCCCTATTGAGTAGTCCTGGCTCTCTTGTCAAATAGTCATTGACTGTGCATGGATTTATTACAGGGGTATTTTTTAAAAGAAATATTTATTTATTTATTTTTAAAGACTTTATTTATTTATTTGTTTTTTAGAGAGGGGAAGGGAGCAAGAAAGAGAAAGAGAGAAATATCTATGTATGATTGCTTCTCATGTGCCCCAGTTGGGGATCTGGCTTGCAGCCTAGGCATGCGCCCTGACTGGGAATCAAATTAGCAACTTCTTGGTTCACAGGTCGGTGCTCAATCAACTGAGCCACACCAGCCAGGGCAATAGGGGTCTTGGTTCTGTTCCTTTTATCTATATGTCTGTTTTTATAATAGTACCATACTGTTTTGATTACCGTAGCTTTGTAATATAGTTTGAGGTCCGGAAGTGTAATGCCTCCATCTTTGTTCTTTCTTAGGATTGCTTTGGTTATTCAGAGTCTTTTGTGGTTTCATACAAATTTTAGGGTTTTTTTTTTTGTGAAAAATGCTGTTGGGATTTTGATAGGAATTGTATTGAATCTGAGGATTGATTTTGTATAGACAGTTAAAAGATTAATTCTTCCAATTCATGAACAGGGTATCCTTTTATTTATTTGTGTCTTCTTTAATTTCTTTTATCAATGTGTCATAGTTGTCAGTGTAGAAATTTTTTACCTTCTTGGTTAAATCTATTCCGAAGAGTGTTTTTTGATGCAATTTTTTAAAAAGATTTTATTTATTTATTTTTAGAGAGAGAGGAAGGGGGTGAGAGAGAGAAACATCAATGTGTGTTTGCCTCTCACATGGCCCCCAATGGGGACCTGGCCCACAACCCAGGCATGTGCCCTGACTGGGAATCGAACTGGTGACCCTTCAAGCCCATGCTCAATCCACTGAGCTATATCAGCCAGGGCTGATGCAATTTTTAAATGGGATTGTTTTCTTTTTTTTTTTTTCCAGATAGGTCATTGTTAGTGTATAGAGGCACGTGTATGTTGACTTTGTATCCTGCCATTTTACTGGATTTGTTGATTAGTTCTAGCTAATGATGCACCACCATTACCATATTAGCAAATGAGATTTTGACCACATATTTACCATTAACAGTGGGTTTTAGCACATTGACATGTTTTTATAATGTTAATTAGCATTTTCAAACTTCAGCTGGCAGAATGTTCTTCAGTATGACTTGTGAGACAGTTCTCCTGGTGATGAACTCCCACAGCTTTTACTGGTTTATGAATAGCTTTACCTCTCCTTTCGTTTGTGACAGACAGCTTTGCTGGCTATCATTGTCTTGGTTGACATTTTTTCCTTTCAAAACTTTGAGTATAACACCTCACTCTCTCCTATTGTGTTGAAAAATTCACCTATCTCATGGGGGTTCCCTATTATGTAATTTGTTTCTTTTCTGCTGCATTCAAAGTTCTTAAATTTGTCTTTGACTTTTGATGACTGAGTTATAATGTGTCTTGGTGTGGCCCTTTTTTTAGTTCAACCTATTTGGGATCCTTTCGGCCTCAATCATCTGGAAACCCATTTCTCATCCCAAACTCGAGAGGTGTTCAGCCATTATTGCTCTGAATAGACTTCCATTCTCTCTCCCTTCCTCTTCTCCTTCTGGGGTTCCCCTATGCGTATCTTGTTTGTTTTTATGGATGTCCCCAACTCCCATAGAGCTTCTCCACTCTCATGTTCTTTTTGTTCCTTGGGATAAAAAAATTCAAATAATTTCTCTTCTACACTAGTGATTCTCTCCTCTGCTTGGTTGACTCTGCTGTTTAAACTCTTTGCAGTTCTTCAGTGGCAGTATTATATTCTTCAGCTTTAGAATTTCTGGGTTTAAAAAATTTTTTTTTAATCTTCACCTGAGGACATTTTTTCATTGCTTTTAGAGAGAGAAGAAGGGAGAGAGGAAGGGAGAGCGAGAAACATCGATGCGAGACAGAAGCATCGATTGGTTGCCTCCCGTGCACACCCGGACTGGGGATCGAATCTGCAGCCTAGGTATGTGCCCTGACTGGGGATCAAACCTGCAACCTTTAGGTTACGGGATGATGGTCCAACCAACTGAGCCACACGGGCCAGGGCTGTTTTTCTTTTTTTCTGATGGTTTCTATTTGTTTCATTGATTCATCTTCTTATTTTGTTTATGTATTATTTTCCTAGCTTTGTTTAGTTTCTTTGTGTATTCTTGTTGTTCATTAATCTACTGCAGAAGAATTATTCTGAATTCTTTGCTATGCTCAGTGGTTGTACAGGGCTTGATTCCGCCCAAATGGGGCTGTCAGGTGGGTTTCTTGGCTATCCGGGCTCCCTGGCTGGCCGGGACTTGAAGCTGTGCTGTGTGGCCGTGATTTCGCTTCCCTGCCTCAGGGGGGCAGTAGTATGGCTCGCTGACTGGGGATCTGACTCGGGCAGATCCGTCAGCCGGACTCTCTGGCCAACCAGGCCCCTGGCTGCACTCTGCAGATGAGCGTTGCTGCCGGCTGGAGCCTCTGCTGAGGTGCCCTGCGAGCAGGAACATGCTCTGCCAAGATTCGAATCCCCCCCTTTCTCCATCTCTGTCTGATCCCCAGTGGTCCCTGTGGGGCAAGATCTGAGTGGGCTTGTCAGGAAGCATCCTGCAACTTTGGGTGAGCTGGCTGTCACCCTGGGGCTCGCTTCTCCCCTGGAGATTCCATAGGACCCCGGGTCCCTGTGGATGCAGGGCTGTGTCAGCCCAGAGAAGGGGTGGTCTCTGCACTCAGAGGTGGCTGTTCCTTTTCTCCTTCTGATGGAGTCTTCAGTCTCTGCGTTTGGGAGAAGCGCTTCAGCCTCACCCCGGGCACTGGGATTTCTGCAGTGGGGACTGGTCTGTGGATAGTTGCTAGTCGATTTTCTTGGAATGGGGACTGAAGTTGGAAGGGACCTACGTCATGACCTGTTGCAGTTCTGAGCAGTCATCAGGTGTGACGTGAGTTAACCTCCCGGAGCAGTCAGCACTAGGGCCGATTGGCTCACCTACGTCATAGCAACGGGAAGCTTGTGCTTCCCATTGAGCAGAGATTGGAAATGAATTACTCCTTTAGAAAAGTCACGAATCAAACAGGTTTCCAAAGTTTCGAGTTTGTACACAAAGAGTATTTCTTGGATTAGGGAGCGTGGGTTTGAATCAAGCCTGCGGATCCTATAGGAAGTGGAACTGCTCGAAAAGTGTATCTCTGGGTGGTATCTTTAGTGTAAATAACACTGGAATTACTCTTTAAAGCTCCTGAAGTACAGCGTCAAGGATGTTTGGGAAGAAAAACTACCTTCTGGCCTCACTTGGGCCTTGACACAAAGGGAGGGTAAGGGACTCTGAAATGGGGAAGGAGAACTTGAGGAAAATGATTTGGGGCTTTGGAGCCAAATGGACAGAAAAAGGCCCACATTCCCCCGTGGCCACAGAGCTCCCATCAAGAGCACACAACCGAGTGATAACCTCTCGTTCATTGCAGGGGAGAGAGAGGCCAGCGCTTTCTGATCACTTGCTCTCTGGTGAGCTCTCTGCTGATGTTCTGCTGCATGTTGCAGAACTTCGTTTGCACAAGAGGTGAGGTGGGGGGTAGCTAGCCCACGCTGGGAATGCTGGAAATATTTGTTAGAGAGATTCAGTGGCCATGTCTCCAGAATTAAGTCAATAGCCCACTCGGGCACAGAAGTGTCTAGTCTCTCAATGGCAGTTAAAGAAGGGCCATTGGAAAGCAATATTTTAGTTGGCGAATTTCATCTCTAAAGGGCCAGCTATTAAGTATTTTAGCCACTGCTGGCCATGTGGTGTCCGTGGCAACTGCTCGATTCTGTCCTTGTAGTAAGAAAGCTGCCATAGATAATTTGTAAAGAAGTGGGAGTGGCTGTGTTTCAGTAAAGCCTTAGTTATAAAAACAGGTGTTGGGCCATCATTTGGTGACCTCTACATTAGAGGAACAAAACTATATGAGAGAAGATGACAAGGCTGGTATGTTGTATTAGCAAGAAACATAAATGCAAACCTCTCATTTGGCATATGGTAACTGATCAATAATTATTTAATAAGCCAGATCCATGAGCCTGTATTTCTGCTGATTTAAACAAATACCAGGAGACTTTAACTGCATTATAATAGAAGAGGTCAGGTATCAAAACAGTTCTTTTTAAAATAGGTTGATTATTAGATCCTGCCAGAGGAGCTTAAAAACCGAAAAGTCTTTATCAGGAGTGGAGCCTCGGGATGTGAGTGACACTCAGTCCTGCTGAGGACACGGACTGATGGCATTTAAGACGTACTTCTAGGGCATGAAGGCAGAGATGTTTAAGAATTATGAAGAGATAATCACTAAGTCACAGTGATTCACTGCATAGTTGAGGTGTGGAAGAGAAGGTCGAGAATGGACACAAAGATCTGAACTGCAAAAATCTGAAGTCAAACGGTGTTGCCGTGAACAGCAGGGATGCCATGGCTGAGCTCCAGGGTCCCAAGAAGACGTTGGGATTGGATTTTGCACAATATCAAAGATAGAGTGCACTCGAGTTCTTCCTCCGTTCCTCGTTCCTCACCCTCTGGTCTTCTGCAGGGTCAGATTATGCCTGTGTCACCAGGGAAAATGTCTGGCTTGGTCATTCCACCAAATCCATATTTATTGGGCATCTACTGTGTGCCAAGCCTCGTGAGAGGCACTGTGCCCATGCACGTGACTGTCACTTTGCTTATCTCTGCCCATGCTTAGGAAATGAATACAGAGTTGGTGGATTTTAAACCCACTCTAGAATGGAGTCAACCTCCTGTGTTATATTTGGTAAGTAGATCGGCCAGTTAGTCTGCCTGGTCATATCGACAGCCTAAAAGTTCTCTTGTAGACCAAACTCCCATAATTCCTGTGACTGGGTAAGATGGAAGATTCTGAGCAAAGAATTAGAAAACTTCTCTGTGCCACGAGAAGTTTGAATCCTCTCTGGATTCAAAAGAGAGACTCTCAAGCTGATCAGGCAAAGAGCAGGTCGAGGCCAATGAAAACGCTGCTGCATGTCATTTCCATACGGATCATGTACTACTACCTAGAGCAGAAGTAAACAGGGCCGTTGGCACTGGCAACAGTTTAGCTAATGGTCTCCCAAGGGAATCCTGGAACATGAGGTGCTGGCATTCCACTCTTTCTTAATATTTGTTTTAAGTCCCTTCTCAGATATAAGCAAACACAGCTCCTCCTGGTTAGTAATAGCATGTGTACTACAGGCAAAGGAATTTAATAGACTCTGAGAAGGTGAAAACTTTAGGGCAAAGTCACAGCTAAGTGTGTAATCTGAAGACAGGAAGTTGGACGGAGGTGGGAAAGGGTCAAGGTTAGCTCAGTAGAAGAGGACGGAAAAGGCACAGGGAGGGAGGGAGGAGGAGCAAAGGGTGACCGTGAAGCTGGCGGGCCCGCGGGAGGTCACAGTGTGGACCTGCGTCAGGGCTCCCATGTCCCCGGCTGCCTCCTGGTCTGGATGGGCAGAGTCGGGCTGCACTGAGCTGTTCTGTGGCCGCCGACCTTGCTCGGAATGTGGTCTCTGACCACGGCACCCAGAGGTCTCCAGAAACGCTGCTGCTCCGCAGAGTCTGATCCAAATCGTACTGTTCTAAGGCGCGCACCATCCTAGGGGATGAAGAGCACTTTCTGGATTCTTCTAAATAACGCTGGCTCTGGCCGATCGCCCCCGAAGGCTCTGTAGAAACAAGGAGAACCCCTTAATCAACATATGGTAAAGCTTCCTATGACTTTTAACACAACGTCAAAAATCACAGAAGAGCTCTTGTTCCCTGAAGTTCCTTTCAAGTTAGCTTTGAGTGGTCCAAAAGATCAGTGACCCCCCCAAGAGTTTAAAATATTGTCTAAGTTGAAATGATTTTGGATCCTAAACCTAAAAAACGAAAACAAACCATCAGCTTTCAATTAAAAGTCCCATTCAGTAAACTTTTTAACACACCATCTAACCTGCAAACTCGCAGCTGGGACAGCAGGGCCCTCCAGGTGCATTGTGGGTCATCTCTTTCCTGGCTCCTCCCCACACACGCTGCTCACTGAACAGCCCCGCCCCCAGGACTCTAGGCCTTGGCACCTCGGCACCCACTGTTCCTTCCAGGTGTCCTCCAGCTTCCTTGATTGCTCTTAAATTACTGTCCTTTCCTGCACCAGGGGTGTCCAACCTTTTGACATCTCTGAGCCACACTGGAAGAAGAAGAGTTGTCTTGGGCCACACGCTAAATACTTGGTGGCACGTAATCACAAAAGAAATCTCATGTTTTATGTAAATTTACGATTCTGTGTTGGGCCGCATTCACAGCCACCCTGGGCTGCACTCAGGCCACGGGCTGCGGGTTGGACACCCCTGCTGTTATCCTCTCCTCTCCAGCTGTTTGGTGACCTTTGGTTATTAAAGCCCCACTCACACTTTGTCCTATTCTTTCGATTTATAGAACATTTTGCTTCTTGTCACTGTTACTTATGATATCATAAGCTACTTGAGAAGGGAGGCTATCCTCAATTTTTTATTTTATAATTATTCATATTACCAAGTGTTTACCATGTGCTAGGCCCTGAGAAAAATACTTTATGTGGATTATTTAATTTCATGGCCACATAACTGTGTTATTGTTATGCTCACTTTACAGATGAGAAAACCGAGGCTTAAAGAGTTGAAGCGACTTGCCTAAGCTGACCATGAGTGCGCAGCGGAACTCAGCTCTCTGAGACTGTCTGAGGGCGGCGCCTGTCTGCTCCTTGTGCTACCTCCCATCCCGTGTGGCGTCTGTCACGGAGTAGGTGCAGAAAAGCGGGGGGCTGACGATGAACAGGCTGTCTCATTCAATATGCTTATAATTGATAAGACGTGTATTTGTGGTTGCTGTGTGCGTGGTGCGCCTTCAGTGCACAGCAGGGACTGAAGGCAGGCTGAGCTCCCGCTTGCCTAGTAAGCCTGGAGAGCAGCAGGACTGGCACACTAACTTTGCAACACTTCTGCGAAGCCAAGGTATTTCAAATTTGACTGTTAAAGCATCTTTCAGATGATGGCTAGTGTTATTTTTCTTTTTCTGTTAAAAATAAAAATATTTAAAATAGAATTGGATGGTCTTTTCCTCTACACCATGCAGGAGAGTAAAAGTACTGGGTGAGACCATTTATTTACTTGCAAACGTCTTCATTGCCGTGCAAGGCAATGTGGCCAATATTTAAATGGAAGAATCACTTTGTCATAAATGGATGTTTTGCATCTTCAGAGTAGTTTCCGAAAAAGGCACGTGCTTTTCCTAGTCAGTGCTGACATGTCTAAAAAAAATGGTTAGATCACCTCTTCTGAAAGTTCTTAAATACTTAAAATGTCTTCTGAAGATTTTAAATGCTAAAATATAGTGGTTAAGAGCATGAACTTGGGATTCCAGTGTTAGAATTTGAATCCTGGCTCATCCTCTTATTGCTTTGCTCTTAGCTTTGTGAAGTGAAATAATGCTTGTAAAGTGCTCAGAACAATGTCTGGCATCGCTCATGAACTTTATTGTTACCACTGTGGTTTTATTGCTTCTCAATGATATTGAGAAAGAGCCAAGCGATGTTTGAAACCAAGCACAGTGATTATGGTAGATGATAAAAGTGTAATACATTTTTATTATCTAAAGACAGTAGTAAAAGTGAGGTACAACTGTAAAAGATGTATGATTTTTGCCCTTGTATGGCTAGGAAGGCTAGTCCAGAAGAAATACTACGAAAATGTTTGGAGTTAAGAAAACAGCACCATGCTTTGCCAAACCAGACAAGAGTATCACAAGAAAACTACAGACCAATATCCTGTGTGAGGAGATACAAAAACCCTCACAGATACTAGTAAATTGAATCTAGCAACATATAAATCATACCATGACCAAATGGGATTTATCCAACAAATGTAAGGTGCGTTTAACATGTGAAAATCCATCAGTGAAAAACACTGCATTCATAGAATAAAGGCCAGAGGCCACATGGTCATCTCAATAGATGCAGAAAAAGCACTGGACAAAAGCCAGCATCCTTTCATAGACACAACAGAACACATTCAACAGATTTGGAAGGGAAGGGAACTCTTTTAATGTGAAAAGGAGCATTTACAAAAAAATCCACAGCTAGCATAATACTTAGTGGTGAAGAACTGAATGATTTCTCCCTAAGATCAGGAATGAGACAAGAATATTCACCACTTCTATTTAACCCTGTCCTGGAGGGTATGTAGGGAAATTATGAAAGAAAAAAAAAATTCATCCAGGTTAGAAAGGAAGAAGTAAATCTATCTCCATTAAAGATGACTTGTTCTAGTATGTAGAAAATCCTAAGGAATCCATACACACACAGGAAAGGCTATTAGAGTAATAAATGAGTTCATCCATCAAAGTGCTAGAATATGGGCTCAAGATCAAACTCATCTGTGTCTTTATACTAGTACCGAACAATCTGAAGTCCCATATAAATAACATCAAAAGGAGTAATATACTTGAAATAAATTTAACAAAAGCAGCGAGAAAGTTGTCCTCTGAAAACTAAAAATGTCACTGGAAAACACTAAAGGAAAGGAAAGGCCCTGTGTCCGTAGGCTGGGCACTTCATGCCGTTAGAAAGTGACGTTGCCACATCCATCTACAGATCCCACAGTCCTTACCGAAATCCCAGCAGGAAGTGAGTCTGTCCTGAAGTTTACATGGAAGTGCAGGGACCCAGAACAGTCGAAACGATCTTGAAAAAGCCCAGAGTTGAAGGACCCACACTTCCTGATTTCTAAATATACTAAAAAGGTACAGTAATCAAGGCTGCGTAGTACTGGCCAAAATATAAACCTTTATGTCTATAGAATAGAATTTAGAGTCCAGAAATAAACCCGTACATTTATGGTCAGTTGATTTTGACAAGGGCACTCCCCCCCAAAATTCAATGGGATTTATTGATAATGGCCCTGAGACAAATGGGTAGCCATAGGCAAAGAATGAACTCGGACCTTTACCTCATACCATATACAAAAATTAACTCAAAATGGATCACAGGCCTAATAATAAGAGCCAAAACTTTTAGAAAAAACATAGATCTTTATGATCTTGGCTAAGCAATGATTTCTTAAATACTACATCTAAAAAGCACAAGAAAAAAGAAAAAATAGATTAATCAAACTTCATCAAAATTAAAAACTATTTTGCTTCAAAAGACACCGTCAAGCCCTGGCTGGTGTGGCTTTGTTTTTTAGAGAACTGTACTGTGAACTGAAGGATCATGGGTTTGATGCTCAGTCAGGGCACATGCCTGGGCTGCTGGTTTGGTACCTAGTTGAGGCAAGTTTAAGAAATAGCTGATGAATGTTTCTCTCCCTCTTTCTCTCTGTCCCTCCCCACCTCCAACATCAGTGAGCATGTTCTCAGTTGAGGATTAAAAAAATAGTCACCATCAAGAAAGTGAAAAAGACAGCCTACAAAGTGGGAGAAAATATTTACAAATTACAGATCTGATAAGGGACTAGTATCCAGGATACATTAAGAACTATTACAACTCTACAATAAAAAGACAAATGACCCATTTAAAAATGGACAGAGGATTGAAATGAATATTTCTCCGAAAAGGGTACATAAATGGCCAACAAGTACGTGAACGGATCCTTGACATCATCAGTCATTAGGAAAATGTGAATGACAGTGAAATACCACACCACACCAACTAGGGTGACTACAATAAAAAGGACGGGGGGGGGGGTGCTTTCTCTTCCTCCCTTGTAACTGTGTGTTACAAGGTTGATGGGCTGCAGTTGTCCTCCCCACCCTCCCAATTCCTCAGGAAGCCCAAACACAGAGGAATGCGTTGCTGGAGGGCAGAGTCGGTGAATGCCTCCTAACCAACTTAACTTAAATAGCCATCCAGATCCTGAGGGTAAGTGTTATGATATCCCTACTTTCTTTTTTAGAAAATATATTTCATTGATTATGCCATTACAGTTGTCCCATTTCCCTCCCTTCATTCCCCTCCACCCTGCACACCCCTCCCCTCACATTCCCCCCATTTAGTTCATGTCCATGTGTCTCAAGTTCTTTGGCTTCTACATTTCCCACACTACTCTTGCCCTCCCCCCTGTCTATTTTCTTCCCACCGTCTACGCTACTTATTCTCTGATAGCCCTACTTTCTAATTCATAATTTGGGCAGGTAGTCTTTGCCTTCTTCCTACCTGCCTTCTCTCCATGAAGGACTTTCAAATACTGTGGTGAAATAAATACATCATAAATGTTACCTTTTTAACCATTGCAAGAGTGTCATTCAGTGGCTTTATGTACATTCGCCTCATTGCACAACTGTTCACTTCAGAACTTTTTACTGGTTTTACTGGGGCACATCAAAACTCTACCATCTCGAAGCTGGAGAGGGATTTTCAAAAAAGGCAGGGACAAGTGTTGACACGGATATGGAAAAAGAGGAACTCTCAGAGGTAGACATCTAAAATAGTGCAGCTCCTTAGAGGACTGCCTAGCAGTTCTTCAAAACGAAAAATGCGGAGTTAACACTTGCCCCTCTAATTCTATTCCTAGGTATATACCCAAGATGATTGAAAATATATATCCAGAAAAAACGTGCACATGAACTGTAGGAATCAAAAAGTGGAAACAAGCCAAAGGTGTCTTGGCACCTAATTGTCTGTAAACTGATGGAGGAATAAACAAAGTGTAGTTCATCCACACGACGGAATACTCTATAAAAAGAATGAGGTGCCCATATAAGCTACAGTGAGGATGAACCTGGACAACACTGTTAAGTGAAAGAAGCCAGACACAAAAGGCCACGTCCTGTGTGATTCCATGGACCAGATGCCCAGAACAGACAAATCCACAGACAGAAAGTAAATGAGTTGTTGCCTAGGGCTGTGGGGGAGGGGCTGGCAGGGAAGGGATAGTGGGGGAGGGGCTGTGAGTGACCCCTACTCGGGCAGGGAGCTTCCTTTCCAGGTGATGAGTATTTTCTGGAATTAGATAGTGGTGATGGCTCTGTAGCGTTGAGAACATGCTGAAACCCTCTGAATTGTAAAAAGAATTGTATTCATTTTAAAAAGAATTCATTTTATAGCATGTGAGTTATACCTCAATTTAAAAAAAAAAAAGAGACTTCCCCCCACCCCCACCCCCCACCCCGGGTAAGGCACAAACTATATACTATAATGACCAGCAGCAACTTGCAGAAAAGCTGAAACTCACTCTGGATCTGAGATGTGGTGCATTTAAAAAACACATATATCACTTCTAATATTAGAAAAAATGCCCATGCTTAGTGTCCTACTATACTGATAACTGTTTTCTTTATTCACAAGACAATGATATATTTAACATTATTAGTCTTTCTTATAGGGCAATGCTTCATTATGGATATAAATGACCCCTGTTAACACTAGTGTTGGTTTTCTTTGTTATTATTTTAGTATGCTGATGTCTCTAATGAAGGCTGACAGTCCCTGTATATTTTATTTCATTTGTTAATAAATAAAAGATTACTTTGGAAGCTACACACCGTAATTCACTGGGAATTTACTACTGCCTTGCTTGGTAATGTTTAACCCAAAGTCACACCTCATTGCCACACAATTTTTGCATCCCTGCCCACCATGTGCAGAAGTTTTTGCTTTTGCTAGATGAAAAATGCAGGCTGACTATAGATTTTAGAGCAGGTCATACTGAATGATGAATACATGATTTGTGGGACAAGAAGTGAATTCTTGCCCAGATGCTGACTTGGGTCTATTATGGTCCAAATGTTTGTATCCAAGTCTGAACCTGAAGTAGTTTTAATTGTTCTGTACTTACTTTCTAAAGGATTTAACTTCAATCCTTCTTGGACAGCAGCCATGGTAATCCCAGGGAAATGAAAGAAAAAAGAAGTTACCGGAATTCGGCCAAGTGCTCACCCACACCTGTGTGTGTCACTAGGATCTCTGCCTTCCCCTCCCTTCCCCGGCCTCCGGGGGGCTGCTCAGCCTCCTTCCCGCGAAGCCTGGAGGGTCTGCGACAGCCCAGAGGCCTCCGCTGCCCCAGGACAAGGTCAGCTAACGGTGACCTCAGTGCGAAAAGACTGAGGCAAATTTCTGCCCCGGGTTGCATTTTCTCCTACTTTTTTTTGTCATTGTTATTGTTGTTTTAATATCCAATGCAAAGTTTTATTTTATTTTTTTGTGTAGCCATTTAATTTTTTAAATTGAGTTTTATTGTATTTTTTCTGTTACCATTTAGTCCCCAGCAATCCCACACTGTCGTCCATGTCCATGAATCCTTTTCCCTTTTTGCTCCACCCCTCCTCCCACTAGCTGTCCTGCACTCTCCATCTGTAAGTCTGTCTCTTTTTCTCTCACTTTTAACATTGAAAGCCTCCTACTCCACTGAGCATTTCTCAAACAGAACAGAAGAATCACTGTGGCTTCTGCTGCGCACCAGTGAGACCGGGTGAAATGTCTGTCTTCGCGTCGTGATTCGGAGCCCAGATGTTGCGTTTGAGAGACAGGCTGTAAGTTCGACTTGAGTCGCCTTCTGCCTTGGCTGTGCCAGATGCCACTTTAGCTCCTGACCCTTCCCTTCCCGGGTGTCTCTTGGGGTATTTTTGTCCCGGTATCTGGACTAATTTTTACCTCCTCCAGGGACCACCGCCAGGGCCTGGGGCGCAGAGGAGAGGGGAGAAGGCTCCCATCCCCACCCTCCCGAACACCCAGCCCGAAGCTCGTGATCTTACCGTCAGCCAGAGCCCGCGGGACGGTTGGGGAAAGAACACGCACTTGGGAGAGTGGATTGTCTCCACCTTCCCGGAGGGCAGCTGGATTTCTATTTATTTACTGATTCGGCAGGAGATTTCTTCCCTCCCTCCCTCCCTCCCTTCCTCCCTCCCTAATTAATCGCAGATTCTTCACTGCATCAACCACAGTACGGTTTCTCTTCTCCCCGGGCATCTGGAGCTGGCGCGAGGCGTCGCTCGCTGCTGAGTCCGAGCACAGCGGAGCAGCGCAGGGCTCCTGCTCCTGACCCCGGCGGGCTGGGCTTTGCCCGCAGGCAGGTGTCCTTCCCCGGCAGCTGGCTCCCTGCCTCCCTCGCCTCTCTGGCCTCCTCGGCGCAGCCCCCTGGCCGTCCACAAACCTGCCCCGGGCGGCGTGTGACGTGCGCCCTCTTCCTGCACCAGCCTGTCCCGGCCGGTTCTCTCCGGACCCCTGTTGGAATGGTCTCTGACTTGCCCTGGGACCCACCCACTCCGACACCCTTCAGGTCCCCCCGGAGGCAGGGCCAGGAGGCAGCAGCAGCCTCCCACTGGCCAGGCTGCAGTTCCCTGCGGGGACCCCGCCCCCAGGCACAGGACAGAGGTGCGGGCGGATTTCACTGGTCGGTAAAACCTGCACTACCGGAGCGGCTTTGTAGAACCTACAACTGCAGAAAACGGGCTCAAGATATACGATACAATTATGGCCTGACTCCAGTGCTCGCCTTTTATTTTAGTGAGAAAAGAAATGAACGGGTGAAAAACAGTCATCAGATTGTCCTCTGCCGAGAGGTGCTGTGTACTGGCAGAGTCAGGTTTCTGTGCAAGCCTGGCCGTGGGCAGGGGAATCCAGTCATTTCAGTGGCCCATACTGTAGCGTGATCTTAGACATGGGCCAGGGGACCAGCTGTTTTTTTTTCTTTCCCCTCAGCAGGACACATTAAAGCAGCAGAATAAGTTGGCTTGAAGCAGTTTTTCGCCACTTGAGCCCAGCCTGTCTGCCCACCTGCCGCAGGGAGAATTTTGCTAGGCTCTGGGGAAATGCCGGTGGCCAGAATGAGCAGTAGGGAAGGCGGACCCATTCCCAGACTCTGCCAAAAGTTCGTGGTCTACGTTTGTGGTCCTACTTAATCCCATCAGCACCCCTGGGGACCTCACTTATGGGTGAGGGAGCTGGGCTCAGCCAAGTCGTTGAACTTGCTCAGTGTCACTGGAATGAAGGAGGTGGTGCTACCCCGCCCCGCTGCCTGCCCGCTGCTGAAGGAGGACAGGCGGGCTGAGAGCACTCTCTCCTCAGTTGGGAAGAGCCTTTCCTCCCGGAATGACCGCGGCACAAAGCCCCACGGAGCACGGAGCCTCCCGTGGCGCCTTATTGCCGTGCGTTTCCCAGGCCACCATCGGTGACGGGGTACAAGGGACTGATGTGAGCGATGGCTAAGTACTCTTCTCCCGCCATCTCGAAAGAGACCACTGTCACCACTGGCTTTGTTCCTCCTGGCCTCTCGCTGCTAGAAAGCCACCTTCCTTGCAGGTGACAGTACTGGGGTGCTGCTGGTTGGGGGGGGGGAGTGGAGGCAGGAAAACCGTGAGCTGCAGGAGACCAAGAACGCCCTGAAGCAGGTGTGGAGGGTTTGAGCGGAGGGTCCTGGGTGGGCACAGAACGAGAGGGAAGTGACGGAAGAACAAACGGTGTTTTCCTGGGCCTAACTGCCGCAGACCAGCCTGGCGAGCCCTTCCTCTTCGGTGCCTTTGCTGGACTGAAGTTTTTGAGTGCAGCACCGCCTCTGATGGGTCCCGGCTTTGTCAGGTTAGTTGCACACGGTTCTCATGTTTGTGAATGCGGGTGTTTTCACTGCCTGCGAATTAAGGGAGGGCTAAGGTTAGGATGACTTCGAAAGGCTTCGGTTGGTCTGAGAGGGGAGGAGGCCCCCTCTGGGGAAAGCGAGGGGAGGCGGGTGCTTGCGTAATTAGGCAGCTGCTCGGTGGCTTAGCCCGGGGCTAAGGAACTGTGGACAGAACACAGGCTTTGGAGTCAGACCATCTGAAACTTGCCTCGCCACTTGCCCACTGGGTGAGCTGACTCTTGCCAAATCATGAACCTCTTGTCTCGTTTGTAAAAGGGGGATTATTAATGGAGGTCTAACGATTGTATGTGGTTTCTGGGAGGATCGCATGACGTCATGGCTGTGAAACTGAAGTCCACACACATCATCACACACAGAACTCTCTGCCAGGGGCCAGGCCGCCTCCGCCGCAGGGCCTCTGTTTCTGGCCGCATTTCCACGCTGGAGAGGAAACTGGAGTTCTTGCTTTATGAATCTACCTGGACAGGCCCTGGAAATCCCTAGAAATGAGAGCACCGGGCAACTGTGGGCTTCATGTGGTGAAGAGAAGGATGCCCTCTAGGGATCTGTCCCCAGCGTCTGTTCTGAGTCTCCCGTGGTGCCGGTCTGACCGGCAGGCGGGAAGCGTGGCAAAGTCCCTGGTTGTCACATACCGGCTGGATGCACAGCACAGAGACGGTGCACACGAGTCTCACTGCAGACCTGGATAGACCTTGCTGTTGTTTGACGGGACCAGTGCCCCAGGCCCCCGCAATGTGCTTTAGTGGTGCTTTTCGTTTGTGTCTTACTGGTCTGCACTGACTTTGAAAAGAAAGACAGGGCTGGGGCACGTGGTGGGCACTGGTGGGTTGTTTTAAGTGGCACACACAGGACCCTCTGAGCTATCTTGGGGTGAACCAGTGATGGGAGAACCCTATTAACCACGACTCTGTAAGCGGCACATTCCTGTTCATCATAATTAGCCGTGACCCCGTAAGATAGCACAGCTGTTTGGGAGCAAGGGAAAACCAAGTGGGATTATGTTCCACGGAGTTTGACTGTCAGGTACACTTGACGGTGGTGATTCCTGAGTGGGCTCAGTGGGAACCCTGCTCATGATCACCTTTGGTGAACCAGGAGCTGCGATTGTACCCGCCCTGGAGCGCTGATGGTGACGGGTCCCCTTTCTCTGCAGGACAGCACCACCTGCGTTTCTCCCTTTTCTCTTAATCTGACCTCTCAGAGAGTCCGTTTTAAGTTAGGCCACAACGCCTGCTCCTGTTCCATATTTCTATTTGGTTTTCCTAGCCCCATTCAGGTGCTGTCCTCTGGGGGCCTTCCTGATCTGCTGGTGAAATAAACTATCCTCCCCCCCCCCCGCCCCCGACCCTGCAGCACCAGCTGGTTTCACATAATCACACAGCATCAGAGTTTATTTCCATGTACATGGGTGCTGGGAGCCCTGGCTGCTGGTGCTCAGTTTTCCTTGCAGACCCGGGTGCTGGGTTCCTGGCACAGCACCAGCCACACGGCACTGGACGAAGTGCATCTACCGCAGCGAGGGAGCGACTCCCTGGGCGTCCTTTTCTGTCACATGCTTGGTGAGGAAAATTCAGCTCTCAGTGACTTACGTTTGTTTTCGGTTACCCCCCAGAGAGAAAACACACTGACCTGTGATCCAGCGGGATGTTGAGAATCGTTTGGGCGGAAGACTGTGCAGGTGGAGGGGGAGGGGAGCACAGCGGGTGACCGTGACCTTGACTTCTTGCGTCCTAACCTATACATGGGAGATTCTTGCTCAAAGGAAGCTCTCACCATGACTGTGTTGGCATCAGTTCTTGTACTTTCCAAAAAATATTAACTTACGCAGCTGTAACTCCCATCATTTTTTATTGACAACATATCTGAAGATGGAGAAGCGGAACTGATGTGGACTGGGGTCTGCGTTCGCGTGGAGTTCGGAGGTTAGTGCCAAGGCCAGGTATGAAGCCAGGGGGGCTGAGCGGGGCCAGGCGGGTGGGCCTGCCCCTGCCGGTAGACCTGTTCTAAAACACACAGTCACAGACGTATGTGGGGAGCGATGCCACTGGCTGCGGATTTTGGAGAACAGCCTGGTCCAGAGCGTGGGCTCTGGGCTGGGAGGCAGGCAGCCTGGACGGGGCCTCAGGTCCTCACTCACTAGATGTGTGAGCCTGGGAGAGTTACTTAAACCTTCCGTCTGCTTGCTCATCTCTAAATTAGGGAGGAGGATTTGATGACCCACTGCAGTGGGGTTGCTGTGACGGTGAACTAAGCTCAGAGTTGTGAGGCGCTTCGCATATGGCCTGGCACCTAGGAGGCAAGGAGAAAGGGCTTGTGAAATGAGATTGGTACATTACCATGGGACCCGGAGTTCAAAGGGAACCTTAAAATTCATCAAGGGTAACCACGACGCAAAGTGGTTACGTCTGCCAGATGGTCACCCTCCTTTGGCGCACACCGCGGGTGGCCGGAGGCTCAGGCCCAGGCAGCCTGAGGGTGAGAGCAGGGAGGACAGGCACCAGGGGACGGTGTAACCCAGGGCCTCTGCCAGCCACCGGCCAGTGCGCCTGCAGGCTCCAAACTGCAGGATCTCCAGAAGGGCGGACACTCCCACGGGAGAAATGACCACGTTAGTTCCAGTGTGTCGGCGGCCACGCTCCGGAAGAGGCGGAGTGCAAACTCAGTCCTCGCCTAGTCTGGTCCACGTGGAGGCCGCTGCGCCCCGAGTGGGGCGGGTGTGCAGCGGGGCGGGTGTGCAGCGGCACAGGCGCACACAGGCAGGCGGCATGGAGGCAAGCAAGGCTCCCGCAGCTCAGGGGCCAGAGAGGCAGGGTGAGGCCGCAGCCTGTCCGACCCACCAAAAACAGGGACCTCCTCGGCGCTGGCTCAGGGTGGCTGGCGGGAGGTGTCCATTGTGCAGCCGTGGTTACCAGTTCCCAGGCCCCGCCGCCCAGCTGCGTTACTGCGTTCTCCGGGGTCTGTGTCCGGAGCACTTGCTGCGAAGCACCCCTGTGGGTTGCAAGGCCTGGATTTTCTGCCGGCCTCTGTCCCTTCCTAGATGCGTGACCCTGCGCCAGGCCCCGGGTAGATCAGGAACAAACCAGGACGTTGGAAAAGAGGTACCTCCTCCTCATTTCCTGGTACTTAGCCAGCTCATCGCTGTGCTGTGTCTGTCTGTAGTAGTAATAATGACACTCATGATAAATCATACACTGTGTTAAAAAAGCACTTTGTATTCTCTCGGTTCATC